TGCGACAGCATTGCACTTGCAGTTGCGCAGGGCGCTCCGAAATATGCCGACGTCTTGTGATGAAACGTCATGGTCTAGCCTTTTAGTCCATGTGGCTGAAGACATTGGGCAGCGAACGCGGTCTGACTAGCAATGAGCAGCACGTCAAGAAGCACACCGCGGCATCGGCTGCGGAGCTCCTTCGTGAAGCGGAGTCTCCGATCAGTCTGTGGACTGACGCTTGGAGCTGGCAGCATGTGAACTTGTCCTGAGCAATGATGTGCAAAAGGGTCCATGCCAGAGTCCGGCTTGAACGAAGGTATGTTTCGGTGCTGCCAGTAGCCAAGACACGCGTACTGTGCCGAATCGGTTTCCTTGTTTGCCGATCAAATCCTTAGCTTCCATTACAGACTGTGTTAACACCAAAATGCTTTTTGAAAGGAGCAGCCACTTTGCGAGGCACCAGTGCGTTTTAGACTCGACCCTTCTCCTCTGATTGTCTTACTTTGGCAAGTCCAAGTTATGTCTGTTTGCTCCCCATTTGCTGTCTGGACTGCGAAGGGTCGGGCGGGGCATATCATGGAGGGAATGCGGGAGTAGTAGCCCTCATGCACTCTTTTTTGATGTTCAAGGGCTTGCCGCGGCATGCAGTTTGACATACATACTGTTTAGTATAGAGATATTTCAGGCTAGGACCTGGAGCAAGTGGTGGGGAAGCCACGCACACCAAGTCGCTCCAGTCTCGCGGGAGTTCAGATGCTGTAAGGATATGAAGATGGTCTCCCAAAGCTCTTTGCTTTGCGATCCTGGAAGGACTCGGAAGCTTTAGGACGTAATTCAAATTGCTGAAGCCCAACACGGAGCCCAGCTTGCGAGCTGTTTCATTCCTAGCTGTTGCCATCGGTCTAGCTTGCCGCCATTGATAGGACAGCTGCCAGGATGGGCTACTGTATTTTGCTCTGGGTGCAATCATACGTCTCATAGGAAGCTGCCTGCGACGTGTGGGCGTTGTTTCGACCCTAGAGCTGCGCCTTCAACTGAAGCGCATCTGTAGCCTATGCTGCAGGTAGAAATTGAGTTGCCATGATGTGGCCCGATGCGCACCTGCTGCCGCAAAAAAGCTTACCACCTTTGCCAGCGTGCGATGCGATGCTATGAAAATCTGCCGACGGCTCGCGTGCTCGTGCATGCCGTGAGTCAACGTAGGCCGCTGGCTTCAGATGTTCACCGCTAGACTTAAAAATTCTCCATACCCTTCAAGCACGCAATCACCTCTTCCTTTCTGCACAAGTGCGTATGCATGAACCAATTGTACGGTGTTGGATAGGGGATTGCCAGGAAAGCAATCCAGGCGTAAAAGCTTTTCGGCATTTTCCGTTGTGCCGTGGTCGCGAGCCTAGATGCATGTCGGGATTTATCTCCAGGGCGCGGGAGTACATCTCGGGCGAAGTTTGCTTGGACCAAGGAGCCATGGCGCTGATGGTCGCGGCACCTTGGGAGAGATCTCTCCGCCCTCTTGCCATCGAAGCCCCTTTCCTGCGGCCAGCGCGACCACGACGGCTTGAGACCCGAGGCACCGAAAGCATCCGTTGTTACGCTGAAACTTCGCGCGTGCTAGCAGCGCCCTCTAGGCAACAGCTGCTCGAGCTTCGTCCGCATTGCTGCTGCCGTTTGCGGCATCCCAGCTGCTACAAGCCACTGTAAGATAACGGGTCCCTCATCTTCGTTTGAAGCTCAGGCTTCGTCTCTGCAAGATCCTTCGCAACGATTGAGAAGGAACCAGGCCGATCAGTGATCGCGACTCCGAGCTTTTTTCAAAATCTGTTACTTCTTGCATGCCCCCGGCTAGATACCTTGGCCTCGGAGCGGTTACGCCGAACTGCCCAGAAGGCCGATGGCCGTGTGCTGGAAATCTCTGTGCCTTGCTCCGAATTGATGCGACTGGTAGAGAAACTTGGTTGATCACCTGTCAGCCGGCTGCACCCGCCGACTTGTGAGCATTGGTGAGTCCATGGCAGATGAAACTGGGGCTTTGGGTGTCTGCAAACACTTGTCTAGCTCTTCTCATAGCAGCTTGTTGGATCAGCCTCAAACTTCAAGCAGTATGGAGCAGACGGAAGCTGTCCGGTCTCCCTGCCTGGACTTTCAGCTTTGCCTTGAAGCCTTCCGTGCGTGCGAACAATGCTGCCACAGCCGCGCCGCAATCTTTCACATGAAGAGCGTCGCGATGCAGGTTTCCGGGGTTCATAGTTATGGTCCAGGGGCTCATGGCCAAACGCAGGGATTACCCGTGAATCAGAAGGGTCTCCGGGTGCCTGCGCGAGACTGGCATCGGCACAATTGAGCCGATTTTCACATTATTCCCATGCCGGCGTATCGGCGGAAGTCCAACACTTTCGTGCGAAGCAAAGCATGCTGCGGTCCAAACAAAACCACAGATGCACGCCGCTGTGTCCTAAGCAAGCTGTTGAAATCAGTGATGCGACATGCGGGATTCGGGGAGTTCGGACATCGCGTGCAAAAGAAACCTGTTGTTTGGTAGAACTGGAGCTAGCTAAGGCAGAAAAGAACAAGTCAGTGCCTCTCGGTCGCGGTGGCGATGTGACCACTTAGAGGTAGAGCTGATCTTACGAGGCGCTCAGAGTTGCTGAGGCCTGTGGAAAATGCCACCGTAGCTGGGATGAATGATCTGACTCTTGGCTGCAAGTGGCTTTGCTACTGGTTCCGTAGCTCAAGCTCTTTGCGTCCATGCATCTGGAGCAGCTCGGAAGCTGAAATCGGAGATGTCTTTGCAGAGAGGATGAAGCGGGAGGCTGTGAACATCCTAGCTGCCGGTGCCGAGAAGACTGAGGAAGTCAAAGGCCAGAAAGGCGGCCCCGCCCTGGTCAAAAAGGAGTTTTATCAGGAAGGCTTCGATCGTCTTCTGAGGAGAGCGGATCCTGCTCCCGCAGATATCTCTACTTCTGACTACGTTCTGCAGACCTTGCCTGGGCTTGTCGAGTATATAGCATAAGAAGCGTCAACACGTGTAAGTTTCTGGGTGTGTCATCCTGACTGAGTGAGGGTGATCTCACACTTACCCCGAAGTTCCGCACCACCCAGTTATACAAGCTCTCCAGGGATGCCATCTAATTCCAGGTTCTGCGCCCTGCAGGAATGTGGCATGCCTACATGAAGCCCACCACCATGGGCACGTGGAAGAATCAAGCCAGCTCCATGGGTGGCATCTCAGATACCGTGAGCATGTGAGCTGGCAAGGGTATCCAGGCAAACCTCATACCAAGTGTGCCCGAATGCACTGACCCCAAGTCTCCAATGTAGCTGTAGCTCTGAAATTCCGTTGCTGGAGCTGTGAGCCGACGAGAGGAGGCAAGATTTGAATAGAGAGGGTGGTGGCCAATTAGCCGGTGCCGACAACATGTTGCAAAAGGCATGACTGTCGGAGAGTACATGCAGCCGATGCAATGTCATTTGTTCCCCTGTTCTTTCTCAGGACTGACCTGCAAGTTGATGCTGAAGCCCGGGGTGCAGGGCCCAGAAACCCAGGTTGTGTGGTGCAGGCGCTCGGCCCTAGATGTCAGAAGCAGACTCGGCAGCCTCACCAGAGAAACTGATCGAGCGTCATGCATCGACAGACAGCTTGGCAGAAAGCCCAAGCAGTCCTGCTGAGCCAGATTAGAGGTTGTTGCATGTCACTGGTTGTATGAAAGTAAGCTAAATCATTTTCTGTGGTGTCCGCCGCTATTGCAAGAAGATCAAGATTTCCATGCGTTGGTGTCCAGGCCGTCAATGTCGAGGTGGTGAGCCTTGAAGTGGGTAACTGGGACAAAGACCTGCGACAGTTCAAGTTCGAAAAGTTCGACGACCCTTGTCTTCCAAAGCTGCTGACGTCCTGCCAAGCTGAGTCAAACTTTCATGCGGAGAAGCGTCACCCTTCAGGGCCCTATTCATGGCAATTGTAAAGCATGAACTTCTGGGTGGTTTCTCAGACTTACATAAAACCGTTACACATAGATGTCACAACTAGCATGAAAGGCCGGCTACATGATGCGCACCTGAGGAAGACACCTTCAGCTTGAATTGGCAGAACAGCATGACCTGGAGAGAAAGAGGTTCAGATCTCGCAGTGCAGTGGCGTGACTGCAGTTGCATTCATGCTGAAGGACGACGTTTCGAGCGTTACGACAGTTCCAAGCAGGCATCTGTCGCGTGGCTCCATGCGATTGGTCATTCCATGGTGGTTTCCCCTGCCGGACACGGTGGTCAAAGCCACATTCCAAGCCGGGATCCGATACATGCTTCTCAACTGCAACAGGGTGGCATCCTGGAAGTGCGAGTGATGACAGCAGGGGAGCGCAGGACCTCGAAACGCTTCGCATGCTGGTGTTTTCAGGTGTGAATGTGAGGGGCAAAGTATGCGACAAGGAAACACCTGTCTAGATTCTAGACTGTTGTGCCGCAAGCCAAACGAACGCGATTCACCCAAGGATTTCGGACGGCCAGTCCAAGATAGCAGCTGCTGTGAGCCAAAGGTATGCAGACTTAGAGCGGTGAGCTTGGCGAGGGCAAAGATACCAGGCTTGAAGCCCAAAATCCGGTTCTCCCTCTCTCAGTGCTGGCGTGTCCTCCTTGACAGGGGGCAAACTTGTCATTGTGGGAGGCATGCTCAGGATCCCAGGCCTAGCTTGAACTACATTCTGTTGGCCGCCGCATGCCAGCATAGATAGTGAGAGTGGTCGTACGAAGGCCCATTGGTCATGAACGGACATGCGCAGACATCCTTTGTGCAAATTCTGATTCTGGTCGCTTGTTGCGAAAACCACACGAGCAGTCCAGAGCCGCTGTGTCGAGCGGCGACTGTGTATGGCAACTGAAAGGTGTCACAAGCCTGGCTCATCCTGAGCCCCGCCTCACAGCATTGCCGATATCGGCAGAATCAGAAACGGCGAAGGGCACCCATCTGCTTTCGTCTCCTTGGCAGCAGAAGCAGCGGCCATGACATGCACTGCACACGAGCACAGGTACAGGGACTGGCTGTGCTGGCCAAGTCCAACGTTCTCGTCCAGGACTGCTGCTTTGTCCTGCTGATACCCTACTACGACGCCACGGCACGAAATATCAGTGGAAGGCATGCTTCAATAATCTCATCCCTAAGTCCGTGCCGACAGGCGAGGCTCAACGATAAAACATCAAAGGACTTGCCAGTCACACATCTTTACCTGGACTTTACCTTAAGAGATGATGTGCAGCCTTCAATGCCTATAAGAAACGTGCGTAGAGTTTGGCGAGAGTTGCCTATGAAGCATAGATACACGGGCGAGCGCCACATCGGTCTGGTTCGAGCTTTGATCGCCATGGCCCCGAAGAAGGGCAAGGCAGCGACGAAGACGAAAGAAGGCAAAGCAGCTGGGCTGAAGAAGGCACTAAACTGACTAACTAGATGTGTCATGGCCAAGTGGAGGATCTGGCTTGGGTGCAGAAGCAGCTGGAGAAAATCTCGGCTCAGCTCTCTGCGGGACCTCCGTGGCTTTCAGAGCCACACTCCTGGCATCAGGAAGCTTGGCTGAGCTTTTTTAATAGATCGAAAATCTTCGAACGAACTGCTTCCAGGAGCAGCTGCGGGAGCTTCAAACTCGTCTGGAGGAAGGCGGCCTTGAGAGCCTTCCTAGCGAACTGCGGGAAGGCGTCGAGTTCTACCTCTCTCAGCCTCTCGGACCACTTTTTGGCCTGCCTGCTTCGCAATATCGCAACGCGGCCCCCGTCGAGGTTCGAGGACGGACAGTCGGTGTCGGAGGAGGAGTTCTACCTCGCAACTTCGCGACAAAAAACACTGACCCAGTACAATAGTTGGACCGTGACCAGTGCACGCCCGTGTGCTTTTCTTAACCTTTCAGCTGTTCGGTTCGGTTTTGACGAGGGTTTCTTTATTTCGAGCTCTTCATCTCGCCGTTTCTCGGTGTGCCGGTGTTCAAAAACTCGGAGGATTTGCTGCTTCGGCCTCTTCAGAGTTTCAGTGGCCTTTCCCCGGAGTTTGAGCATCTTCTTCTGAGGTGTCGTGCACTTCGACCTCATCTGTTCACGCACCACATCCATGAGCAATTCCCGCAGGAAATCCATGCCCGAACCGTAATAACGTCCACTCCGAGCTCACCCGTGCCCGCACAGCATCCATGCCCGAACCCGTAATCAAGTCCAAGGGGGACAGCGCAGTGAAAACGGCTCTTTGCACCGAAATACTTGCGAGTTGTCAGCAGCCCTTTTGAAGAAAGTCCTTGACCTGCGACTGTATCGCCCGTGGGCATGAACTGAAGTGCCTCCCGCAACACTGGGGCGTTGAAAAGAGAACCAAGGACCAGGAGCTCTATTGCGAGCTGCAGCCGAAAGCCCCGGAGCCCGAGCAGCCTTACAGCAGGGCGTCGGCATCAGAGGCAGCGGCAGACCTGGGCCGGGGCCCAGGACGAAGAGCAGCCGTCTTTGTCCTGGAAGGCCGAGCTGAAGGTTTGCGAAGAGCTGAAAAGCTGGACGGACACCACTCCCCACGGTCTGAGCAAGGCCGGCCAGTGGTTGGAGCGTGCTTTGTTGCAGAAGGTTTTGAAGCACAAGGGTTGCGTCATGTTGCGTCCTATTGCCACTCTGACAGCTCCAGAAGCTACTGGAGAAGCACAGCCACTGTGCAGAAGTCCAGGCAAGTGGTCCTAGTAGAGGTCGTGCTCCGATGCGATTCCCTGGATGTAGACCAGGAAGTCGGGCTGACTCGTTTGGGTGGACTGCTGGCCGAGGCAACGGACCTTTGAGAGTTTCGTTTCTAGGTGCCTTGGCAACGCCGGGTCAGTGTCAAGCGAGAGTCAGGTGAAGGCAGGGGGCAGCGCAGTGCCCTCTGGTTCTGGATTCAGCCCTGCATCGGTGTGTCCGGTCGTGCTGGAGGCTGGTCAGCCTGTCCGAAAACTTCTACAAGCGGGTGTCTGGCTGTTAAGTTCTTGCTTTGGGATTGCAGCTGGCAAGGCCATGACCCGCTTTCCTCGCGATGCCGGCGTCCAACGAGTCGCATGCAGTGTGCTGAGAGGCTTGCTACGGCCTGAGCAGACGAAGCTGATTGCAGATGCGTTCCCAGACTTGGCATCCATGGCAGGCATCGTCGTGACCGACGGTGGCTGCACAGTAGTAGCGGATGCTGGCGGAGCTGCGCGGGCGGTGGATGCCATGAAAGCCCACCTGGTCGACCCGGAGGTGTGCCGCATGGGTGCAGCAGTTCTCTACGCCGCTGGGCTGAGTGGCGACAGCTTCCTTGCACTTGGCCAGTGCCGCCTGAGAGACATTGAGGCAATGGTCCAGAAAACAGACCCGGCTTCCCCCGAAAGGCTGATGATGCGCACGACAAAGGCCCACCAGGTACTTGCCGAGGCGCTCCAGCGGAACCGTGCTCTGCGAGTTGTTAATCCTATTCTTAAGCATCGTATAGCACCGTGTGTAAACTAGAGGTCACCCGTGTAATTATGATCGATGCCGCCATGTTCTTGTCTGTGGATGCGTCTGGATTCCTTCGCGCAGAAGAGTCATGACAACAGTTCTTCGTCCTGCGGCTATCCGTGGAAAGCGGCTAGTGAATCATGTCGCACAGGCTCTGCAGTACCACCCGACAGACCGAGCGCTCGACCGAGCGTGTCGCGTGACCATGCCAGAGTTGAAAGGCTGAGACGGATAAGAGAAAAGGGACATGGTGTGTTTGCATCTTCGCAGACGGCTAAATATCCGTCCTGGGTAGTTACGGGTAGTTGCTTCCTGAGCGGTCAGCCAGCTAGCGGCTAGCGTCAGGAGCATTTCAAAGTCGATGCCTCCGGACAGTCCTCGCGCAGGCCCACTGCAGCCGCTCTGCTGAAGTGTTTTGCGTTGTTTCGCTGAGTGCTTGCCTGCGTATCTATAACAGGTGTTATAGGCATAGTGTTGCAGCAGGGATGGCCGGTCATGATGTTGTTGGAATTTGCCCTGGTTTCGGATGGGCCGGATGGGCCGCGCAAGTTGCTCAGCTCTTCTTTTCTTGCGGCAGCTCAGATCACCTGCTACTTCGGAAGCCGTCAGCTCAGCAGTACCTGTCTTGCTTCTCGATGGGTTCCAATCCCTGGGTGTCGGTTCGCGAGTCCAGGTTGGGCCCCAGCAGACGGAGCCCAGGTTCCTCGGAATTGTCTGATGACGCGTATGCAAACTTCCGGTGCATAGCGGATTTTAGGGTGTTTGGTTTTCGACTACTATGATGGGCTGTATGCTGCAATGAGGAGAAGGAGTCCAAGAAGAGGCGGGCATGCGTCACGAACACTGAGCAGCCGTGGAAGCAAAGAAGATCAAAAGAAAGGCTCTGCGGTTGTCCTGCTGGGGCTATCATGTCGAATGGGCATTTGCGATCAGTTGGCTTTGCGGTATACCTAGCAGTTGCGGCTTAGGCAACATGCATTAACATGTCCATGAAAGTTCAGCGATTATGGACTTGTTTACCTTGGCTCAGGGAACAGGTAGTGCTCTGCAATGACCCTGTGATCTCTGCCGGCCGTGGGAGGAACGTCGCAGGCTTGCAGCTGTGTTGACTTTTTGTGGCTTGTCCTTGGGTGATGAATCATGAACAGCCCTGCTTTGAATAAGAGCGTGCGGCGTGCGACTCTTCTTCTACCAGGTTGCCAGAAGAAGAATGGCAGCGAAGCTGCCGTTGTTGCTGCTGCTCAGTTGGCCAACACAAGGCCCGACTAGTTCACGAGAAATCCTGAGCAAGGCTTGAGTGGAACATGGGACATGTCGATGACGCGCTTGCGCCAGGCGCCGCCCATGCGCCAAGCTGTGCTTTCAATGGTGAGCACTACATGGTCTCACGGCTTGTTGAGTGTGACGGCGTAGAGTCCCAATTTGCTGGACGTGTTGTGATGTCAGCTGCCCACGTCATTTCCGAAGATACATGTCATCCCGTCTGCCAAGGACGAAAAGGTATGGAGTCCGAACGGCGGTCTGCAGGAAGATGCTTCAGGCACATCGTAGCACATTGAACGAAGTGGTGTACCGCTGACTTGACACACTTCGATGCGAATTGCCAATCGGAGCATTTGGTAGACGGTGGTCACGTAGACTGCTGCATCAGGCTGCCAAAGAGCACCCCGTTTGCAAGTTCGAAGGGTCAACGCTGAAGCGGTACTGACCGAGTGCTGCTTAAGCGCCGTACAGTCTTGGAGTGTTGCTGTGCATGCAGCTATGGAAGCACGCGGGACCCTCCTCGTTCTCCAAGGCGTGTCTGGCCGATGTCGGATGCAGCTTGTCCGACTGCAGTTGAGTGCAGTTGACAGTGACAAGACGAGTCTCAAACCGACATTTGTCTTGTCTAGTCACTATACTGGTACCTACTTTTCCACTTGTGCACTGTTGCCCCGCTAACCGGCACACAAACACACACACACACACACGCACACGCACACACACACACACACACACACACACACACACACACACACACACACACACACACACACACACACACACACACACACACACACACACACACACACACACACACACACACACACATGCAGAGGTTCCTACTGGACATTCTACAGCAAGACGTTCACGTCGCTCGGCTCACTGTTTGAGGATGTTGCGTCCGTGATTCTACGGCATCGGAGCATGCGTGCAAAACTGGTCACCATGAATCATGAGGGGTTCAGGCTGTGGAGCTCAGGTGCTGGCTGATGGGGCCTCATGCCACCCTGGGCACCATCCCCGACAGCACGGCGACCAGTGGCCCGAAGAGCTGCAAATCGGTGGAAATTAGAGAGCGAGCCGCGAGCCACCGCGGCTCTGCGAGCTCAACAAGAAAAGTCGCCTTCTGGAGGCCGTTGAATTACTGCAGAGAAATCTAGCTGCAGGCAACGCGAAAGAGGTGCCCCAACTGCAGCACTCTGCCGCCCCGGCGACGGCAATCACTGCAGGCTGGGCTTTCCAAAGGAAGATGTCGCTGCTTAAACCTGTGTATGTGATTCAGTCATTTCCAAGAACGGTTTGCATTCCATTAGAATTGGTGTTTCTTGCGAGGTCGAAACGCGACGCTGCAAGATGCTTTGGGAGAGATTCAACACAGTTTCTCGGACAGGAGTATGTCTAAGGGACGAACTGACGAACGGCTTGCACCTGGGTCTGAGTTGAGGCGGGACACTGGCACTGCAGCGCCTGGATGACCAAGCATCTCGGAGCTGAAACTCTCCGAGTCCGAGACAGGTTGCTGATGGTCGCTGTAGCGGCCGTGCTGCAAGTGGCTTCGAAGATCCGAGGTCGCGCCGATGGCACCTCTGCGAAGCGCTTTGGAGCGCCTCCAACTGATGACGCAGACCCCTCAGCAAGCACGGCGGGGAGAGTCACAGCCCCATGGACGTTCTTGCAGGCCTGAAGCCACAAGAAGCTTCGAAGGCCAGACGACTAACGCAGTCGTTTCACCATCTCGGAATGCGCGTCAGTTGCCGACCTTGGCTAAGTTCGCATGCGAGCACGCTGCCAGAGAACGAATCATCGAGTCGTCACTGAAGTCTCTGCGGTGTTATCCTTCAACTTCAGCTGGTCTCTTGCGTGTCGAGCGCATTGAACCGCGCAAAACTGAAAATCTCTGAAACGGCTTCAGTACAGCTTCTATAAAGCGATGGTTCTCGACTTTGTGTGGAGGCGCATACTTGAGACTTTGGGGAAGCAGGATTGGAGCCAGGGCTGCTCTCAGGTTTCGCGAAGACGTCTGTAGTTAGATGCTGTGTAGGTTCCGGGTTCGATGCCAAGCAGTCACGGGCACACCTTCCAGGAAAGTGCTTGTCATCTGATCTCTTGCTGAGGTCTGTATAGGAGACGACAAAGCATCTCCTGCTCCGGACAGAAGGGACGAAAGCTGTGCCTGACCTCCTGGTGCAAATGCAGGTCTGCCTTGGTCCATTGCCGTTGCGGCGCTCCTCAGCGCCGCGGCCATTGGCACCGCTGTGTTGTGGTTCTACAGGCGACATTGGACATGACATGTCTCCGGCCATGCGACAAGTTGCAGGAATCACGGCGATGGATCTGATCAGCCTGTCGATGAAAGCTGGGATGAGGAGCACACTGCTTAGCCAGCTGCTAACTGCCTGCGGCCAAGCTTGCACCCGCAAGCCCCAAAGCAGGAGTCCCTTGTGGAACTCCCACGGCTTCAGCCAACAGGCCACCCGAAAAGAAACTGCATGCTGCTTTTCAAGAACAGGAGAGCCATGAGATGCTATGCGACAATGAGCTGACACGGTGTATATATATATATATATATACACCGATACCGGTAGATAGTCTAAGTGTAGAGTACTTGAGTACAACCCAGGTCCTCAGGCTGGGCGTGTCGCAGGTTGCACGGTTCAACTGAGGGCATGTGCAGTGCGGCTCCTCCTCAACGAAAACATGCCCGCCCTCAGGGCCATCTGCCCCAAGACCCAGCGGACCTCGTGTGCATGCCCTGGATTACGTCATGCGAGCCGGACATGGGCAGCCGATTCTGAGCCTCGGCACACTATTGGCTTTTGTGGGTCCGGGTATGGCTAAGTAGAGAGCCGTGTCGTGCAAGTGACATGTGGGTGCTTCAGAAGTGCACCGCTTGTTGTGACCAGGATGGCATCGCCTTCTGGCCCGGGCGGGGAGGTCAATGCAAACTTCGTCTGAGTTTCAGGTGCACGGATGACGTCACGGATGAGTGAACCTGTGCAGCATGTGTGTTGTTTCTCCTGTTGGCTTCATGTAGCTGATTCCTGTGAATCGCCGCTGGGTGCACTGATCGAGTCTAGGACGGACATTGCATGGATCGGGCCAATGTTGCCGCGATCTGCAAAAAGCGCCCGAAGTGCTCTGTCTTGAACGCTCTTTGCCACAACCCCTGGACTCGGACACTTGCTTGCTTGGCAAGCCGGGACGTTCAAGTTTGCTCTGAGAATCGAGCTCAAGCTGCCGGCTTCACGTTGGTGTGCCACGAAAGGTATGCACTGTGTTCACCAGACAGCCGGCTACATTCGCATGGCCACCGCCAGAATCCCGAAGTCTCATTCCGTGTCCCTGTCCAGAGCTGCAGCAGCGGCTAGTGCCCAGACTCTTTCTTGAGAAGATACTACAAGTTACTAGTGGTAAAGACAGGCACCCGTGCAACGAGGCCGAGGTAGCACAGGTGACAACAGAGAGAAAGAACAACTGCCGATGCCATGGCAACATTCTTTGTTAGCCTGCTGTGAGTCATGTTGTTAAGGCCGGGCTGTGTCGCTAAGAGAGCGCCTAGGCTTAGGGGCCTTGCTGCCTCCGTTCTGTCTTCGCGAGGCTAGCCGGCATGGCTTATCTCACAGCAATCGTCCCATGCTCGGCTTTTCGCTGCAACATGAACTCGACTTGGGCAGGACACCGTTGCAAAAAGTCAACCAACCAGATTCAGTCCCTAGACACTGCTAGATTTCTAGATGGAGATGTGTTCCGTTTGGGTCACGTGTTCCAGCATCCAGTGGCTTGCTGGATTGCCCAACCCAACCAGTAGGGATTGCTAATTCTTGCCAACTATCAGGCTGAAACGCAGGAAGAGCCGCATAGAGGCGGGATCTGTCTCGCACCATCCTTTGTTGACTGCACGTCAAGCACTCCTGCTTGATACTTGTTGGCTTCGCAGTTCTATAGGGATCCATCTACAGTGGTTCGGTATCTGACGGCTCCCCACCCCAGTACCGCGCGGCGCTGCTGCGGATCTCCTGCGTGCGATGGCTGCTTCGGAAAGGGCACAGGCGAGCCGAGCGATTCTCAGAGAGGTGCCTCTGGCACTGCCAATGGGCGAAGCACTGCCTCGAGGCTGAGCTTGTGGAATGTCGCAAGTCGCTCCAGGCCCGGCAAAACGGCACCTTGCATTCGGTATAAGGGCTCAGATTTTCGTCTCCAGGTATGCGAGAGCGCCTCGCCTTCATCTGAAGGCCGCGGCTTGGATTCTCGTTTCACACTGGCTCTGATGCCGTCATCCTCGCGCTTCTGCCCTCACTACGGAACGGGGGATTCTGCACTACGAACTTAGAACTTCGAGTAGGCGTGAATGAGATTCTACGGCAGGAGCTATCAGCAGATCCCAGCCAATCAGGCCGACTTCAGTTCAGCAATGTGCAGCCTTCACGTTGTACTGGCTGACAACGACCTGCGGAGTGCCAATCGACATGTGCTCCTCCCGAGCACAGGTCCTCGCAGCTTCAGCCAGGTTCACCCGAAGCTCCAGATTGGCCGGAGGAGTGGCTGTGTGCGAGCTTCAAGCCTGGCGTTCCGCAATTTGGATCCTTCCCAAGTTCAGTGCTTCGGGACTTTTGAAGTATTCAGGGCTACGGCACCTTGCTGCGCTTCCCCTTTGGCATTGCCGACATGAAGACGCTCAAGGCCCAAGATTTGCCTGTGATAGCTTTACCACCGTGAACAGGAGGAGCTGGATGTGAGTTCCAGGAAGTGGCCCGAGAGCTGTGGACGTCGGAAGGAACTGCGGCTGACATGGATGACGAGGCGCACGAACGAGAGACTCAGCAAACCCATGCGCAAGGAGGCACTGCAGCTTGCCCTTAATCCCTGCGGTAGGTCTCACAGCTGGGTTTTCGCCAGCACAGAGGGATGAGGCCGTAAGCTGAGCATGCCGATGGCCGATGGGTCAGTGCATGTGTGCTCCCTGCGGCCTTGAGGAGCGGTTTCCCGAATCCTTCGTTTGGCAAGCTTGAGGTGTGCATCTGAGATGGTCGGCGTTCACCCCGTCGGCGGAGCAGGTGTTCGCTGGTCCGCTTTGGCCCCAGACTAGCACATTCGCGCGATTTGCGGAGCTGAGAATTGGAGAGAGTGGCGTCGCGGCCTGGAAGGGCGCGCTGTGGGAATCGGCTCAGCAGTGGTGCTCCGAGAACGCAGAATGCAGCCCGGCCTGATCTGTGCGAAAATGAAAGAGGGACATGGCTGCGTAGAAGTCTTACGGCATTACGGTGAGTGTCAAAACGACCCGCAGGAGTGGAAGCCCTAAGCCGCAACAGTGGTGCATCGGGGTCCTTGAAAGGCACAGGCATCATGGTGTATGTTGGCTCCAACACGATGAATTGCAATTCCTGGTGTGGTCGGGGCCTTGCCATCGTGCCCTTGGACTGAGTTGCTACAGATATGTCGTCAACTCGCTGCACAGCTGTCGGTGTGTTTTGTGGGGGGACGCGTGTGACCACGAGAGCAGGCAGACCTCAGTTCTGCGACGGTCGCATAGACGCTGCTGAATCTGCCGGTGCCAGGATCTCACGCTTGCTGAGCCGACTCCCGCAATCCCTTCAGTCTTCAGCTTTCGGCATGCAAGTCTTCACCACAGGTAGAGGAGAGCAGCGAATGGAATCTCTGGGTGCGCCCATCCGGTCATGTGGTCGGACAGCATGGCAACGACCAGTTTGCAATCCACGGGCGGGCTGAAGCAGGACGGACCGCAGCGAAAACGGAGAGAGCCTGCTTGCAGCAGGTCAAAGATGCCGCTGAGGCCGGCACCGCCGCATGAAAGCCTCGGTGAGCTCCTTACCCCGGAGACGGCTGGCCAAAGAACCGTCGACGAAAGGCAGCAAAGAAGTGGAAAAAGTAGCGCGAGCGGCCTCTGGGGCCAACACCATAGGGGTATGGTTGATTCGCGGTTTCTCGTTTGCATGCTGCAGCATGCCAGGCTGCTGTTAGCTTGCCTTGCATGATGATTCAAAGACTCCCGGGCAGATCTCGACAGCACGGCAAGTTGTAGGGAGGAGATGTGCGTACCATGACAGCTGTGATTCGGCACAGCTGGCTCGCTTCGCTGAGCGTCCATGCACGAACAGATGCGACGAAGAGTTTCTGAACAAGCGCCTGAAGGATCGACCAGTCCCCTAAGAAGCATGTGCACCTAGACTTCGCCTCACTGGCCAGGCCTAGCGGGCAGACCGAGCTGAGCAACGAAGGTCGCAAGATTAAGAAACCAGAGCCATTCGAGACCCAGGATCTAAGCTCCGACTCTCCTACCTTCGTGTCTTTTCTGCTTCGCGTCCGAACTGCACGTAGAATGATGTGTTGCGCAGGGCGGACCCGAGCGGCGACCATCGCTGAGCTCCAGTTGCGATACGACACGCGCCTGCAATGACACGGTTTGTCCATGTCCGTACGAATTTACCAGCGTTACTCCCATCTGATACGGCCTTCAAAGGAGCCCAAGACACACAAAGATGCGCAGCTCACAAGAAGCTTCACAAGGCAGCTCCTGGAAATGACCTCAAGCCGAGAGTCTCTGCGAGTCTGTGAGCATTAGTTATCTGAGTTGGGTACACTTGGTCTGCATCAGGTCGAAGTGCATGTCTCAGTGAGCTGTTTGGCTGGAGCTTTTCCCTGCCGCAGTCCCGCCACCCGCCTGGCCGTCCTTGCCCATGAGCTTCTCCTACAGTCCTCAGTTCTTCCTGCACTTCCCAAAGTACCATGCGCCACACTTGAAGCCGGGGGAGGAGCACAAGGACCCCTTGGACGAGATCAAGCCGCGCTGTTTGTCAAGCTGCGCCGACTGGTTGCAGGAGTACAACGCTTGCGTTCAGCGAATCAGCATGCGCACCGACGGCAAAGGTGACTGCAAAGGGCAGTTTGAAGAGCTGACCATGTGCCAGGACCATTGCATCGCGCATGAGATCTTTCACCACGTAAAGTGAAGTGAGACGCGTCATTTTGCAATCTGCTTAGTCTGTCTTTAGCCTCCCACAGAACAAGACGATCTATGACGCTTTAAGCTTGCATGCGCTACTCACGCGGGACTAAAAGAAAGTGTGTTTGTCAGCACCACGATGGCATCATTGATGGCTACATGTGCAAATGAGGTGATCTTTTTTGCAAGCTGGCTGTGTCATCGTATGGAAGCATCACTCCGGGTGCGAGAGTGAGTGTGTGAGAGAGAGAGAGAGAGAGAGAGAGAGAGAGGCTCAAACCCCGAGCAAAGCAAAGCAAAGAGAGCGAGAAGCGCTTGCGTGCAAAGGGGTGGCCCGTCCGCTGCTCCTGTGCTTGTCTGATTGGAAGGAGAGAGGATGCAGAGAGAGAGAGAGAGAGAGTCACGTCTCACACCAGACTCGGACACTGGCGTAGCGCTCGCGCGCAGGGGGGCAGGGTTCCGCGCTCTGCTTCCCACACGCCATGCAAGCAAGCAAGCAAGAGAGACAGACAGATCTATGCGCAGGTGCGTGCAGTCTTCCATGTCCTCGTCAAAGATCCCCACGCGGCGATACCCTCAGCCATTCAGTTTTGGCCTGCAGGGGGCATTGCATCCGGTACAGTTATGACAGGAAGAGCCGTGGTTCACTATAGACCAGCACGATACAGTGCGAATCAAGCTGAACCGGTCTCCCTGCTCCCTTGAGCTTGCAGTGCGGGAGAAAAATAACCAACCCTTCGCGTTTCTGCAAAGGCTGCGGCGCAAGTTGAACGACATCGGCGAGCAGCGAGTCTTGCTGGATGCTTATACTGTAGGGCTTCAGCCCGACGGTGGCATCAGTGCGCTGCGATGGACATGTCCTTCCCAGGAAACAGGACAGAACAGACAGTCCAAACAGTCTGCTGCTACACAATCTCTAAGGAAGGCCGGATTGACTCGGCTCTGCACGCTGCTCACACGCGGGCTGAGCAGCCAGGCCTTCACTCGAGGGAAAAACTTCGGCATTGCAATGAGCCTTCAACCCCTTATAAGCCTTGGCTTCCCCCGCTGTGGTCCGCTTGAATCACGCTGGCAACTCATGCAGCACATTCTGTCGGATCGAATGAGCTCCTCGCTTGAAGCCTTGCAGGCAACTCGTGTAGCAGTAAGAAGGTGGAATAAGGCAGACAGACTGGCAGAAACTGCCGAGCAAAGGCCGGCAAACTGAGTCGGAAGCCTGTTTCTTCGAAAGCCAAATGCTTGCATCTAAGAGCCAGTAAGCCGCAGACTTTTGCGATGGAGGTGCTTTCCGAACTTCCCCAGCGGTCGGGAGGAGGTCGAGGCCTTGATGAGCACAGCCATACAATGAGTACAACAGCGTAGAATGAGTCAATGATTGGGGACTTGGGCTGTTGGAGGATGCTATGAAAAAACACTTGTTAGCAGGCAAGCAGACTCAGGTCAGCTCTTCATGACGCCATCCTTCTACCAACGCCTGCTACGTGGTGAGACAGAGCTCAAAGTCTTGCTTGAAGGCCGGTTGCGAGAATGTTACGGTGGCAGGAACGCAGCCACATGACACAACTTACTGGAACCCGGTTTGAGATGCTGTGGTGATCTGTGGTGCATCGGTGATGTCAGGTGACGTGGCTGCGGCTCAATCCGACCTGCGCCATCTCCGACTTGAGCAGCGCCATGGCAGCTTAAGGATGCAGCAGCTACCCGGACACATTCACGATGCTTTCACCAGAAGTCTTAGTTGTATAACCAGGGAGGCTCTTGTAGATTAGTCTAGAATGCCGCCTGTGTGGTTTAGCCTGCAAAATGGTAAGAAGTAAATTCAAACGATCATGTTTAAATGTATGTTACATGATATGAGTACCATGGCTAGTCTTATTATGATTACTACTGCCTGTAATTCGCGCTACTGGTACTACTGGTACTAGTATTCTTGGTACTTTTTGCTACTGGGTAGTAATACTAGTACGACTAGTCTATTCCTGTCGTACTACTCCTACTCCTACTGTTAGAGCTACCGCTACAGCTGCTACTGTACGGCTAGTGCTGCTACTACTACTGCTACTTCTCTTGCTAGCTACACTTGCAAATTGTACAAACTGAGGGTCGCTAAGGGCACTTGCTTGTGCAAGCTGCACCTCTGCAAACTAAAGCTTGCAGACTTGCCACATGAAGCAGTGTTGGGAACCTGTTCTTGAGACCGATGGACATCTTGGGATACGTATTTGCAGATGGATCTTACAATGCTTCCAGCCACCGAGAGCCAAGCCTGTTCCCCACACTTGTCATACGTGACAATCCTTGATACTTTGCAAAACGATTAGGAGTGCAATACGATGACCCAGTTTGGGGATAGGGGAGTCAAAACGGGTTTTGCTGCAACCCCGAGTTGCGTTGTAGATCCAGGCTTCAGGTTTATGACAGTTCCGGATTCAGCACGTCAAGAAAATTACATGACTAAAAACTAAAATGCTGCAAAGATGTGACACAGAGACGTGAAACTCCTTGGCTCTGTGCGGCATTCGACCGAGGCTCCTCAGCATCCGAGTGTCCACGCTTGACTGGGCCACGGAGTCGCATTCACACAGTGCGGGGAGCTCAGGGAACTGTCGGACCGATGGGCCTTGGCGAGCAGTTTCCTGTGCAGTCTGGCCGGCAGAGGCTCATACGAATTTCCTGATGTCCCTGGACATGCATCTCTTTGAGCGCTTGGCTCGCGACTTCCTGCGCTACTTGGCGAGTTACGGGAACACCAGCACATTCAGTCCCTGAACGTGCTGAATGAGCTGAGGCACAATACCAGATGTGAAGCCAGCGACTCTGCATGCATTAGGCTGGGCGTTTAGGAGACGTCTGATCCTCCGTCAAACGGCAAGGTGCTGTGAAGATGACTCGCTCCTACTGTTCATCTCGTGCGTTGCATGAAACTGTCATGCAAACTGTCTGTGGCATTGGCAGCGGCTTGTGTTTCTTTTCGGCTGGGTGTGGACCCATTCATGCCTTCCGCGATGGCTGTTAGTTCTGAAAGATAGGTGACAGAATGCAGCTTGCCCCTCCTTCGTATCTTACGACGCACAATGGGCTGGTGAAGCAGCTGTCCTCGTCTTCTTGTCAGAGCGGAAATCTGGGAAGCCACTCGAGACGCGATGTTGTGCGACCTCGCTTGTTCACCCTGCTGGCTGCCGGTGCTGCAGCTCAAAGATGTAGCAGAACCGTGAGACGTGCACTCAAAACTGAGTATGTCCGTTTTGCCCGTGAAGATCTTCTTTCACCCGAAGATGGTCCTGAAGAGCATGAACAGTTCGAGCTGAACGATGGAGAGAAGCGACGTCTGGATGTTTTGCTTTCCGAAAAGTATGAGCAGTCTCGCAGCTATTTTGGGGCGCTGATCCGTCAGGGTGCTGTCCAGGTCAACGGCCGCGTGCGCAAAAAGTCCTTCCGAGAATATCATCCAGGTGACGTGGTGGATGTTCGGTTTCTCCTGGACGAAAGAACCCTTCCCATGAAGCCAGAGGCAATGGACTTAGACAAGCTGTACGAGGATGACCACATTCTCATAGTCAACAAGCCAGCTGGTCTTGTTGTGCACCCAGCTCCAGGGCATTGGAATGGGACGTTAGTGAATGCAGTGCTTCACCATCTTGGGTTTCGATCCTCGCAGGACGGCTTGCCTTCAGCACCGCCTGGTCCAGCGGCCCAGTTTCGCCCAGGAATTGTGCATCGCCTGGATGTTGGAACCTCGGGGGTCATCGCGGTGGCAAAGACTTCCCAAGCCTTTTCGACTCTAAGCCAAGCCTTCTCGCGCAGAGAAGTTCAAAAGACCTACCTCGTCATCTCCGTTGGAGGAAGGAAGTACTTCTTCGGCCATTCTCGTGGTGGGGGCCATTTCGTGGACATCCCCATAGGGCGCTCCAAAAAGGACCGCCGACGCATGGCTGCAGTTGCAACAGACTGTGGAGGACGCCCTTCTGTCAGTCTTGTGCGAGGGCTCGCGAGGGACAACCGGGATCTAATCCTCCTCGAGGTAAAGCCTCGCACGGGAAGGACGCACCAAATTCGCGTTCACTTGGCTGAAGAGCATTCTCCAATCCTTGGGGATGCCTCCTATGGCTGGGAGCATCTTAACCGGCGATATGCAGGATTGGCGACACGACCTATGTTGCACGCCTTCCGCCTCGCTTTCGCACACCCTGTCACCGGCGAGCAGATGGAATTCGAAGCGCCGCTGCAGGAAGACATGCGAAAGCTTATCGCTCGCATGGAACCTGAGCCTGAAGAGGCTGCCTATGTGCAATCGCTCTGGAATCCAGCCAGCAGAGTTTAGGCTACTATTCGGATCCATGCCAATTCCGCGGATGAAATATTTCTTTGCATCAGCCATGAAGTAGGACTTGCTGGGTATAGCTGGAAAATTCCGCCACAGCCCTCTGCCGATGTTCACCAGCGGAGGTCGTTTCACAGCTTGCGCTTGTCTCCGTTGCCAGGCCTTCGGATTGCCTTAGTCGCCGGCGCCGAGGAGGCCTGACAGGGTGAGAGTGACGAGACCCGCTGGCTCTTCGCAGAAGTGCACAGAGCATGAGGTGATTGCGCAGGGCTGGGGCCAGCGATCTGTCCATGGTGTCGGGGATGCCTTGCCGGCATTGCCCGAGGCCAGGGTCCGGGAGCGTTGTGGTGGACGATCGGCCCTTGGGCGTGGCATTGCATGGTCAGGTCTGGGCATTGGCCCTTGGTCCAGAGTTTACTCCGGCGCGGGTGGCTTTCTTCCATTCCAGGATGGATCCTTGTGACGTAGTCTGGTCTGGCGCGCATGGATTGTAGTGCAGTGGTAGAGGCGACACGGCTTCCGTGTCAACAACCGACACTGCTGTGAGGGAGTTGTGGCTTCAACTTTCCGATGGCGAGCTGCGCAGCATGCAGGTGGGTACTGTAGCGAAGAAAGCCGCAGCGCCTAGCATCGTGAAGCCACACGGTATCTGCGCAGGCGACTGTACGAGGTAATACATCACGTCAGTCCGTGTAACGGAGCGGAGTCATCATTAGCTCCGGAAAGTTGCTTGACTTGTGGGCGAGACCGGGTTGGAAAGGATATCGTGGCCGGCCACAAAGTCGCCGTTACCACAGACCGCTCCACTGGTGTGGGCAAGGCCGAGAGAGACGATTGATTCATGACATCCCCCATACTGTACCCGACTTGTGCACCACTCGAAGGATCGTGTCCTCCACTGGGAAATCGCCGTGATGGATCCTTCGTTTGAGGCCAACTTCTGCGGGTTAACTTGCTTGGGCAGCGCATGTCCGAAAGGATATCCTGGACGAGATCAAACAACAAGATCAGGCATTTGCTGAGCAGATTCTGGTCTGATCAAGGGTGAGGTCTTTGGAGCCTAGACTCTAGACCCGGGCTCCGCTAGCTAGCACGTTGCACCGAAAGAATGCAAGAATGCTTTGCTGCCTGACTTCACTTGCATCTAAGGAAAAAGATCTGCTCCGAGCTGACAGCAGTGCTCAAGAAGCGGATGTCTGGCCGGGCGAAGGAATTGGGACTGGTCGTCGAGCCAGAGGCGTCACACCTCAACATGTGAAGCACGGCGTTTGTATTGCTGAAAGCGCTGCTCGTCGAACATGGCATGCTGACTGCCTAGTCAGTCGCCTGACCTGTTGCAGGCTCCGCAGGGCAATGCCGCTCGACAGCTTACAGCAGTTTGGAAGTCTGATAAGTCTGCAAGCACCGGCACCTTGCAGCGATCCGCTACTTTATGAGGCGTAGGTCTAATAGTGGAGTCTACAGTCGATGCCAGTCCTGACACCAATTTTGGAACATCACAATGCCTCACGGGGACCGCCAAGGAGTTGCAGGAAAGCGGAGCTCCGGAACAGCCTGAACCTTCTGCAGTCCTGCCCGAGGTTCACTGCTAGCTTCGATCCCAAGTATCGGTTCCAAACGATTCTAAAAACGTATGTCTTGCTGTGAAGTTCTGCTGTTCATCACTCTTGCGGTGGCCGTCCTCCTCCAACAGCGGCTTGTGTTTTGAGTTTTGAGGCTTCACTGTTGACGACATAGACGAGATAATAAGATATTAGTCGGTTTCTGCATGATTGGAGAAGAGGTTGAAGTCCCTCTCCTGTCACTCTCCGTTTCCCCTCCAACCTGCCATGCTCGCTCTGATTGCATCCTTGTGTCGCCAGCATGTGTACCTGGCATCGCTGCAGGAGGCAGCTCCGGAGCCGCCAGAAAGACTGGCGGAGGCGATTGCGGGTGACAGGAACAAGGCTTTGGAAGTTTTGGAGGTCTATGTCCAGGGCCTAGGGCCCACGGCCGTTTCACACTTGCCGAATCGCTGCAGGCTGAGCCTCCTGAGGAGTTCAGCACGCCGGAGCGGGTCGACCGAAGCGCAGCTCATAAGGCCAAGGCCCTAGCGACAGACTCGACATGTGCAGGCCGCCATGCAGGCTCCAGGCCACTGCTGCATGCTGGGGCAAAGTTGCGTCGTTCGAGGCAGGGTCGCTTGATGTCTACACCCCCGAGCCCGTCACAAAGGCTGCCGTGCCAGAGGCCTGGAGGAGTAAATGCACAGCGTCCGCACATCTGCCAGCGCGCATGTCGGGTGTTATCCATACGACATGTACTGATCGCCAGCCTTTCCAACTACGCCTGGAGTCCATGTGACATGGATGGCACTGCAGTTCCATAGACTTCCATGCGTGTGGCCAGATCTCCAGTCGGGATTCCTCGCCGCCAAGACCCCGCAGGACAAAGAACGTGCCCGTTTCATGCCTGCTTCAAAACTCGGCGATTATAGTCCTCGCATGTCTACGTAGAAGCGTCGTAGCAGTTGTAGTGTCCGGGGCGTTTGGTGAGGATATCTATCTCCAAGGAGTCAACGGAGTCGAACGGGAAGGCTGCAGTCGTGTGTGACAGTACAGCATCGTGCAAGTAGGTGCAGTTGTGTATACTCCCGTTGTTGAAGCTGCGGGATGCCACTTCTTCGCACTCAGCAGCAGCTGGTAGCAAGGGAGTATCTCCCGTCCGCCATGGCTCGTCGGCGATTGGACGGAAGAAGCTGGATTCCTCGACGTGGAGGTGTGGTGCAGATCGGGCTTGGGGCATCTTCGCCATTTTTGTCGGCGGGGCGTACTGTAGGTCCCTGCATCTCGACAACGCAAGGCTTTGTGGTACTCCTCTTGCTTGCAGCCCTTTCAAGCAGCTACCCCAGTGCTTTTATCCGGTCTGCCGTGCTTCGGCAGCATCCAGTCGATTAGACTCACTTAGTTGAAGGGATGTGCAAGGTGAGGTATGGCTCTGAATCCGACCAATTTCGTGCCGATCATTACAGTTTGCAAGTGTGCGGGATGTGGCATGCCTGCTTGGAGGAATGGTCAGACCTTGCATCGTTGAAGGGAGCTGACGTTCTGCCGCTCATCACCGACATTGGCTTGGACCTGGGCCTCGACGGCAGCAACTCAGGCTAGGCGATGTGAAGAACACATGGCATCTTGATGAACTGAGTGTCATCCTTGCCCGAATTTCTCATCAGCTTCCGGTACTTTGAGCAGGCTTGGAGATCTCTGGCGCTTCTGGCTCCTGCAGTTTCATTGCAGATTTCGGCGCGACTCGCCAGCATCTAGGACAGCTGGCAGTGCAAACGCAGCATGCTGCGTGCGAGCCGCTGCACCTCTGAAACGTTCAACATCGCCTCGCCCAAGACTGGAGGATGTTGTCCCACATGCCTTTGGTTTGCGGCTTCAGTTGTTGCCATCACATGAGACCTGATCCGGTGTTGAGATCCTGGACATCCCCTTGGTGGGGCACATTCGCAGCCGTGCAGGGCTCCGGCTGCTCGGCTTTGGAAGCCGCGAATGGTGGCACTGGGCTGCCGGCCCTACGTGATTCTCGAGAGTCTGAGTCGGAGTCAGCAAGGTACAGCCCGCTGTATCCAAGCGGAGCGCTGGAGCTTGGCTTCCGGAAGGTCCTCCTTGCATGAAGCGCTGTATGGCGGATAGGGATCTTCCCTGTGGTGCCGCAGCATGACCAGCACCTCTGTGATCGAATGTTGCTGTCTTGTTGCATAGCCAGGAACTACGCACGGACACCGCGCAAGGCTACCAGCTTTTCATGGGCCTTCAGTCTACAGGCGGAGCATGGTTCAGCTCGTGTCACACATTGGCATGCCTCTCTTGCATGCTGTCTCGCTATTCGGAGGTGATGACCGCCGGCTGGACATGCTAGCAGACATTGGGGCGCCACTTGCCAGAAGCAGTCTTGTCATGTCTTTTCGGACGTGTTAGATGCACACCACTGGCCGATGGTCCAGCCTTCATGTTTTCCAGTAGCCACCATGCCATGGAAAGTGCAAAGCCAGTCCGACAACAAGAGACCCTGGGATCATTCGCTAAATTTTGCTGCATGTCAGCATTGTGCAATTCGACCTTTCGAGCTGAGGTTGAAGCTGTTCCGGAAGGCGCGTGCCTTCTATCGTTTTCTGTGGGGCTTCGGTGGCCCATACGAAGGAGGAGGAGCTGGGGAAACGGATGCGTTTGCTGTGCTTGACACCATGCAGCTTCACTGTGCTTCGCAAAGACTTAACATGTCGACCAGCGCTTGAAAGGAGCCAAAGAGTCCAAAGAGGAGGAGGCGGCTAGAGGGCCCAAGTGGAATCAGATGGGCTCGTCCCTGGGCGTCACCCAGACGGAGATGCCGCCCCACAAGCGAGGTCGGAGACAGATGACAGATTCCGCCTGTAAGTGGGCCATGTGACCGAAATGCACGTTGCACGTTCCCTGAACTCGCCCACATCGAGCTACATCAGGACAGCTCACAATTGGCTGGCGAACTGGGCTCTTGGACGTGGGTCTTGCTACTTGGACACCATGTGTTTTTTTTGCCGGGCCGTTTTGATAAACTTTGGTGACACAGCTGTACGTTAGCCGGCCCATTGTCCTGCAAAGCCTTATGTGGATTACCAGCGGCCGCAAATCTCAGGAAGGTGGAAAGGTACAACCTGCCGCCGCGGCCCGCGCCCACAGAACCACGAAATCTCGAGGCCAGCTAATTTATCTTCACCGCTTCGATGGGAACCTGTCAAGAAGATGTTGTGCAGCCATTACATGTTTTTACACTGCTTGCTTTTCCGATCCATTGGTAGAGCTTTTCCTGAAAGGGCTGCGCGACAACCTCTTGGACTCGTCGCCCTGTGCCTCGTATTCCATCGATCTGGTCACAAAACGTCTGGGTGCTGCGCAGGAGCGCGGCTTTCGTTTTTGAGTCGCTGCCGGGCAGGTGACAGTGGCCCGAGCACCATCTCAAGTCATGTTGCCTGCAGAGGTGTCCTGGACAATTCTACCGGAACACCGCGTTCTGGAGCATGCTTTGCACATTCGAAGCAAAGCAGATGATTCTGGGGGCAAGGCATGCCCGGGGAGGGAACTGTGGGACCCACGCATTCTTCTTGTAGAATGCGATTGCACGGCGAGGCAACGCTGACGGCCCTCCTGGAGCAATCGCTCTGTGCTCATCGAGCACGACTCCGACTCGGCCCGGGGGGAGAATTGGCGAAAGGGATGTGGACCTAAGACTTAGTAGGGGCAGCGAGGACTAGAGGCCCTACAGGCGAGCAGTGCATGTGTGGTTGTTGCCTTTGCCCAGAGTGCCAATGCGTGGAGTTCGGGCAGGTGCAAGCTACGAGCGTGATTAATGCTGTTTGTGGCAAAGTCCGCGAGGTACATTTAGTTCCGTTTCTGATGCACAAGTATACTATGTGTGCTGGTGCGTAGATAAGAAAGTTGAACAAAAAGCAAGCGGGTGAGCAGAGACAGCACGCCCCATGGAGACGTTGCTTGAGACCGGGACCGTCTGACTGCCCACTCAGCAAGGTGCTCAAAAAGGCTGTCGTTCCAGCATCTTCGCTTTTGTTGCCGTGCCGGCTCACTTCCAGGCTTCCTTCATGGGGTATCCATCCGAACCGAAGCTGCAGGAGGAGGACAGCAGACAAGCGGTCTTGAACGTCGAGCGTCTTGCCTAGGTGTGTCGCTTCGCCCGTTTCATGACAAGAAATGCTGCCATCATCGACGGTGGCAGTTTGACAAGAAGACCTCCTGTGCAGAGAGGGCGATGAGAGCGTGGAAATGAATACCGGAACTGTAGACAGGATGGTTGTTTCAGCGCATTCTTGCCTGGCACCCAGCTCGACGAGAAGATTGCAGACAAACAACTTCGCGAAATCACCGCAGGTCGTGTGGAAGACGGTGACCTCGCTCGGGTGAGGGGCCGAAGAGGGACAGGGTGTTGGCGGGATTGGTGCGAGTGTAGCACGTGTTCCTAGTTACGAACCCTTTGACCACATTTCTTCGTATCTTCAACCGCAGTGCGTGCTCAGTAATGCAGAGCCAGAATGCCTTGTCCTCAGACTTTCCGGATGCGTCGTTGAGCTCCGAGCCGGATTGCGGACTGTAGCAATCCAAGCTTAAACTGCCTTAAACTCATGTCAAGGCCGAGAAGATTCAGTAAGGAAATGGGAACAGACCAAGGACTTCCTCAGCTTGGGAGGACATGTTTTTTTTCAACGGGGTTGCACTCGCTGTGCCCAGCAACTGTCATGTGTGTTGGCTGTAAGGTTGGCATAGCCAAACGTTCGAAAACTAGATCCTTGTACTGTACATTCACTAAACCTTGTTGGGATCAGTCTCCGCAGCGATGGGGGAAAGGATGAACCCATGGAAGCGCATTTCAAGTCAGCCTTTCACTCCTGTGGTGGTTCAAAAGGTTCGGTTGTTGCGCGCAGAAACAACTTGAATTTGCACAGTCCGACCCCCGACCCCACAAGGCCGGGTGAGTGTGTGTATGGGGTCCGTAAGGCAGGCAAAGTAAGGTCCAGAAGAAAACTGTTAAACTTTCACCGGTTCACCGCGCCTCAGCACTCGCTATTAATGCTTGCCGCAAAACTACATAAAAGTGTTGAGAGGAGCCCGCGGCGGCTGCAAAGGTGCAATCATAAGAACAACTCCGTCTGTTGTGACGAACCATGGAGCCACAAGGACGTGAAAAAATCATGCGATGGGACATGATGGGACCTTGACGACGGGTTTGGCTATCGACATGATGTTTAGCCAAACCCGTCGTTTGCGAGACCCTGCTTTTCCAAAGTCGAGGTTCTGCCATGAGACGCAGGACCCAGGGCAACTCAGTGGGACGAGAACTGGAGCCCCGACTTCTCTGGGGCCATGCTGCTCGCTGTTGCACTGCGGCCATGGGGACAATCATTGCTGCGTGTGCTGTGATTCCTCTTGCCATGTCTGATCGGGGCTTCGGTGACAAATTCGTGTTTTCGAGTTTCAGGGTCTCGCGCCCAAAATTCACGAGCTGGACCCGCTAGCTCCGCTGGCTGACATGGGGGATGGCAGCACGGCGCTCCGGGCACCGACCCAGGTTGGACTTCGCTGTCCAGCCCTGTATTTGTGGCGCACCCTGTTGCCCGTGAGTTCAGCAGCTCACAAGGAGAGAAAGAAACGCAACTTTGCGCTGCTATTGCTGACGAAAAGAACGGCAAGACCCCGCAGCATCACTTGTCAACCCTGCACATGACGTGCTGTACTGACCGAACGCACGATGACGCACGACGCTTTCTGAAACCAGCGAGGAGTCTGCAACATGTTGCGAAGCGCAACAGCGACGATGCCGTAGATAGCTTCAGCATGTTTCAGCTTCAGGTGCGGTTCAGACTGCTGCATACTATGCTTTCGCTGTCGAAGGGGGGGCTCGCAAGAGCGAAAGCTAAGACTAAGAGCTTTAGCTGCACTCAGAGCACGGTCAGCTACCTTTGTCGTGACTGCAGACTTGCTAACTGCCGGAGCTTGCGGCGTTTGAATGAACGAAAAGGAAAGCTCCTATCATGAAGATCCGACATGTAGAGCTGCCTGACTGCAAGTTGAAGCCATGTTGCGGCAGCTGTGCGGCCGTGGCGCTTACAGGACTCGCTTGACAGGTATATTGGCATGGAACTTCACTGCTCGCTTATGCTGTTGGTATCGCGTCCTGCGCAAGGCCATGGGCATGTGCCCTGCTTGCTTGCTGTGGTGCTGCGTCGGGAACTCGGGAGTTTCACATCCCCAGGAAGGCTAGGGATGAATAGCACGTTCGGCATTCGTCTAAATAGGAGGTGCATCGTTCGATGCACGCGACATCACGGCTGATATGCTGTGCAGCGTTTTGAAGCGATTCCGTCTGAGGTTCGGACATACAGCAGCTTTGGAGAGCTGCTCCTTCGAGGTTGTGCCGCCATTGCGATCGCACTGTCGTAATTAGATGCATAGCGGACGAAGAGTAGGGGATGCAGCCACGGTCGCCAGAAATGTAGCAGCCTGCAAGCCTGCAGGTGGTAATGGTTGATGATCGGCCTTGGAGAAGGCTGTCAGCACCACAAGCCCCATATTGGGCCGCTGGGACACTGCCGGCTTGTCGCGCCGAAACGCAACATCCAACATGGATGACCAGCTCAGCTGAAAGACTCAGCCAAGCTCAGGTTTTGGGTGCGGCCTTAAATTATGCTGGAGCCTCAGGTTTCGGAACGCATGGCTCCGTGGGGGTCCAGCTGGCCTTGCATAACCAAAAGTGAGCAGTAAAACAAGAGAAAGATGCCTGGCAGAATCTGCTGCGTGTGCGACGGTCAGTCGTCGGGATGGCAGTACACTGAGGAAGCAGAGGCTTCACGGTTGAGTCACCGATGGTAGTCTGAGTCGCCCCTGTACGAACCAAAGACTCAGTCCCAATATTGGTCTTTCCACGCACTGTTTCAAGGCTTACGCGATGCGCTTTGCTTACAGAATCCGCCTTGCCATTCTCTTAGCCGTGTCCGCTGGCTTTGCCCGCCTTCTTTGCACTGCTTCCAACTCCGCATGCAGGTGCGGCCGTACCACTGGACCGACCCTTACAAAGGGATGCAAGGCCGCCCGAACTCCAAACCAGGACCGTTGCGGCACGAGCACAAGAGTTTCAGCGACATGCAGGATCTTACCCTGGCTGGAACAAGGTGCTGTACTTCTCGGAGCTTCTGAGAGAAAGCCAGCAGCGCTGCACGTGGACGCCCGGTCTGCACAACGAGAGTTGTGTGCATGCCTTTTTCGTGAGCGGTTGACACGAGCAATGACTACGACAGACAGGCTCGGCTCAACTTGCAGTGACAGTTGTCTCCAAGCTCTGCTTCGGAATGTTTCCGGAAACAGGTTTTGCACTGGGCTGCCAGCATTTGCCGATGGTGGGTCTCAGGCTTCTCTACCTGGACTGCGACGCCTTCGTTCGCACCTTCGTGCCGCTTACATCACTGCCCCGTGGCACGAACCAGTCCTCAGATCCGATGTACGCGTGGTTAACGCTGTTAACACCCTTTTGGCATGCCAAGATTGCAGGCTTTCAGATCTGGCTCGGCGCTATGGTCTGAACACAGACAATTGTGAAGGCTGGGTTCTGCCCTGGTGATGCAAGTGGTTCCAGTAGTTGGTCCTGAGTCCTGGGTCTGCATCCGAGGAACCTCTGCCATCTTCGCACGTGAGGATCCAATGCCCTTCCTGAACTTGAGCAGTGGACCGATGCCCGACTGAATGAATACTTGATGGTCAACCGGTTGAGTTGTGGCATATCTAGACCTCGCAGCAGTTGTGGCGTAGATGAGCAGCTCGTGAGCATTCTCAAGGGTGGTTGTTTAATCTCGTGTGTGACCAGGATGCCGACCGGCGCCGTGCCTGCAGCACCTTTCATAAACACAGGCAGCACGGCGGGCTGCCAGCTAAGACCATGGTACTTGTAGTATGAAGTGGTACCACGAACAGCCCACAGGCTGCTGCCAAGCAGATCTGCAGAAACAAGATCTGCCAAGATCTTTGCACTCTTTCGAAAAGCGGGGATTGGCAGTGCTGATTTGTAGTTGAGCGCGGTAGAGAGCGCGATGTAGCCCTTCGCGACAGCTAACACCTACACGCAGCTACACTCTGAATGACAGGTGTTTTCTTCGTCCGCGCCGATTGCTCCAGTGCCTCGGCAAGAAGAGGATAGTCTCGAAATGTCTCGAAGACGGTTGCTTGCTCAACACATGATTCAGGATCAAAGGGTTTACGCAGGGATCAATACAACTTAACGACGTGCATTCGGGCTTTTGCCGCTTCTGCTACGACGACGACAACTAGTACCACATTGTGCCGGGAATGAAGGGCCGCTGCTTCTGATCAATATCTTACCAATCTTGCTCATCTTGATGGAGGTTGCAGCAGACCAAGGTTTTGCTAATCTTGTAATCTTGGTCGGTAGGGGGGCGGGATGAGTTTACCGTGAATGCTGTTTAGCTGGAAATCTTGGTCATCTCGGTTTCCGAGTATTTCCCAAGCCCGGGGAGGGGGGCAGTGATCTTGCAATCCTGCGCGCCTCCTTGGACCAGACATCAAGATTTCCAACATCATCCACCCCACCTCTTCTGAGAGTTTAGGGTTTGCGGTTTTACAGTTTAGGTTTTTGAGTTTAGGGTTAGGAGTGGCTGGCGCGTACGGTTTGCTTACGCGTTTAGGGTTTAGCGGTTGCAGGGTTTACATTTAGTAGGTTTAATTAGTATAGTAATTAATATTATAGCCGTATGTATAGGGTTTTGGGCTTTAGGGTTTAGGGTCTGGGGCTTCGCGGTTTCGGATTTAGGCTTTAGGATGTTGGGGTTTTATTGTTTGGGGTTTTACGTAGGGTTTGTATCAAGTAATATATACCTGATATTTAATTAGTATTATACAGGGTGTACGGTTTAGGCCGTTGGGGTTTTGCGGTTTAGGGCTTTTAGGGTTTGGGGCTTCGCTCTTTAAGGTTTAGGGTTTAGGCCGTTGCAGTTTAGGGGTTGGGGTCTTCGGGTTTACGGTTTCGGGCGACGCGTGCCCGGCGTGCGCATTGGTTTAGGTGTTTGGGGTTGGTATGGTGGCAGCTGTTCCGGGCGAGAGAAGCCTGCTTCAAAAAGGGTCAGTATGGGCATCAGTCTTTTTTTTGGAAGGGGGTGGGTAAGCATCATGAGCATCAGCTTCTGCGTGGGTGCATGGGTGGGTGGTGGCTATAGGATCGGGGAGGGGGGTGCAAATTGATAGGTTCACAACCGCATGCCCGTGAACCTATTGGCGGCGGGTAGGTGGGTCACTGGGTGGTTGCGTCAGCAGTTCTGGTGGTTTGGGGGGGTGGATGGTGGGGGTAATCTTGGTAATCGCGGTGATCCTGGTTAGGGTTTAGGGTTTGGCGCTGCGTGGTGTAAAAGGCGCTGCGTGTCAGCCTCGGTCAAGATGATTGCAGGTCGTAGACTGGCTAGACTTGCATCCAGTAGCAAACAGGCTGTTGGGGTTTTAGGGTTCAGGGTTGTGCAATGTTGTGCACACGCGCGTGCAGTTGACGGTTTTAGGTTTAGGGTTTAGCGTTTGTAGTTAGCAGTTACAACATGTTACAAATAGCATTAAATTAGTTTTAGTGTTCGTATTAGTATTACAGGGCTTAGGGTGTTTAGGGTTTAGGCTGTTGGGGTTTTACGGTGTGGGGTTTAAGGGTTGCACGCTCCCTTCGTATTCGGTTTTGGGGTTTGGGTTTAGGGTTTGTAGTTAATTCGTATTATAGGGTTGAGGGTTTTTAAATCGGGTTTAGGATGGTTTAGGGGTTGGGGTCTTCGTGTTTAGGGTCTAGGCCGTTGGGGGTTTACGCTTTCGGGCTACGCGCGCCCGGCGTGCGCATTGGTTTAGGTGTTTGGGGTTAGTACGGTTATCAGTCTTCTTTTGGAAGGGGGCGGGCAAGCATCATGAGCATCAGCTTCTGCGTGGGTGCATGGGTGGGTGGTGGCTATGGGGGCGGGGAGGGGGGTGCAAATTAGGGTTTAGGGTTAAGGCGCTGCGTGTCGGCCTCGGTCAAGATGATTGCAGGTCGTAGACTGGCTAGACTTGCGTCCAGTAGCAAACAGGCTGTTGGGGTCGGGGTTTTAGGGTTCAGGGTTATGCACGCGCGAGAGTGCAGTTGACGGCTTTAGGTTTAGGGTTTAGCGTTTGTAGGTAGCAGTTACAAATAGCAATAAATTAGTTATAGTGTTCGTAGTAGCATTACAGGGCTTACGGTGTTTAGGGTTTAGGCTGTTGGGGTTTTACGGTTTGGGTTTAAGGGTTACACGCTCCCGGCGAATTCGGTTTTAGGGTTATGGTCTAGGGTCTGTAGTTAGTTGTAGTAGTCATGACCAGCAGTAGTATTAGTATGACAGGGTTTAGCGATTTTAGGGTTTAGGTTGGGTTGGGGTTTTCGGGTTTAGGGTCTAGGCTGTAGGGGTTTTATGGTTTCGGGCTATGTGCGCCCGGCGTGCACATTGGTTTGGGTGTTTGGGGTTGATACGGTTATCAGTCTTTTTTTGGAAGGGGGCGGGCAAGCATCATGCGCATCAGCTTCTGCGTGGGTGCATAGGTGGGTGGTGCCTTTGGGGGCGGGGGGGAACCTATTGGCGGCGGGTGGGTGGGTCACTGGGACGTTGGATGAGCAGTTGTGGTGGGTTGGGGGGTGGAGGGTGGGGGTAATCTTGGTAATCGCAGTGATCATGGTTAGGGTTTAGGGTTTAGGCGCTGTGTATAGGTCAAGATGATTAATTGCAGGTCGTAGACTGGCTAGACTTGCGTCCAGTCGCAAACAGGCTGTTGGGGTTTTAGGGTCCAGGGTCATGCACGCGCGAGAGTGCAGTTGACGGCTTTCGGTTTAGGGTTTAGCGCTTGTAGGTAGCAGTTACAAGTAGCATTAAATTAGTTTTAGTGTTCGTAGTAGCATTATAGGGCTTAGGGTTTAAGGGTTGCACGCTCCCGGCGCGTTCGGTCTTAGGGCTAGGGTTTAGGGTCTGTAGTTCATTATAGTAGTTATGATCAGTATTAGTATGCAGTAGTATTATGAAGTCTAGGGCTTTTAGGGTTAAGGATGGTTTAGGGGTTGGGGTCTTCGAGTTTAGGGTCTAGGCTGTAGGGGTTTTACGGTTTCGGGCTACACGCGCCCGGTGTGCGCATTGGTTTAGGTGTTTGGGGTTAGTACGGTTATGATTTTTTTTGGAAGCGGGCGGGCAAGCATCATGAGCATCAGCTTCTGCGTGGGTGCATGGGTGGGTGGTGGCTATGGGGGCGGGGAGGGGGGTGCAAATTAGGGTTTAGGGTTAAGGCGCTGCGTGTCGGCCTCGGTCAAGATGATTGCAGGTCGTAGACTGGCTAGACTTGCGTCCAGTAGCAAACAGGCTGTTGGGGTCGGGGTTTTAGGGTTCAGGGTTATGCACGCGCGAGAGTGCAGTTGACGGCTTTAGGTTTAGGGTTTAGCGTTTGTAGGTAGCAGTTACAAATAGCAATAAATTAGTTATAGTGTTCGTAGTAGCAATACAGGGCTTAGGGTGTTTAGGGTTTAGGCTGTTGGGGTTTTACGGTTTAGGGTTTAAGGGTTACACGCTCCCGGCGAATTCGGTTTTAGGGTTAGGGTCTATAGGGTCTGCAGTTAGTTATAGTAGTTATGATCAGCGGTAGTAGTAGTATTATAGGGTTTTTAGTTTTTAGGGTTTAGGTTGGGTTGGGGTCTTCGGGTTTAGGATCTAGGCTGTAGGGGCTTTACGGTTTCGGGCTACGTGCGCTCGGCGTGCACATTGGTTTAGGTGTTTGGGGTTGGTACGGTTATCAGTCTTTTTTTGGAAGGGGGCGGGCAAGCATCATGCGCAACAGCTTCTGCGTGGGTGCATGGGTGGGTGGTGCCTTTGGGGGCGGGGGGTGCAAATTGATAGGTTCACAACCGCATGCCCGTGAACCTATTGGCGGCGGGTGGGTGGGTCACTGGGTGGTTGGGTGAGCAGTTCTGGTGGGTTGGGGGGGTGGAGGGTGGGGGTGATCTTGGTAATCGCAGTGATCTTGATTAGGATTAAGCGTTTAGGCGCTGCGTGTCGGCCTCGGTCAAGATGATTGCAGGTCGTAGACTGGCTAGACTTGCGTCCAGTAGCAAACAGGCTGTTGGGGTTTTAGGGTTCAGGGTTATGCACACGCGCGCGTACAGTTGACGGCTTTAGGTTTAGGGTTTAGCGCTTGTAGTTAGCAATTACAACATGTTACAAATAGCATTAAATTAGTTTTAGTGTTCGTATTAGTATTATAGGGCTTAGGGTGTTTAGGGTTTAGGCTGTTGGGGTTTTACGATTTAGGGTTTAGGGGTTACACGCTCCCGGCGAATGCGGTTTTAGGGTTAGGGTTTAGGGTCTGTAGCTAATTGTAGTTATGATCAGCATTAGTATTTGTATTATAGGGTTTAGGATGGTTTAGGGGTTGGGGTCTTCGGGTTTAGGGTTTAATTTAGGTAGTTTTTTTTAAACACGGTTTCGGGCTACACGCGCCCGGCTTGGATGGTTTAGGTGTTTGGGGTTAGGACGAGCATCCGTCTTTTTTTGCAAGGGGCGGGCAAGCATCATGAGCATCAGCTTCCGCGTGGGTGCATGGGTGGGTGGTGGCTATGGGGGCGGGGGGGTGCAAATTGATAGGTTCACAACCGCATGCGCGTGAACTTATTGGCGGCGGGTGGGTGGGTCACTGGGTGGTATGGTGGGCAGTTCTGGTGGGGGGAAATCGTGGTAATCTTGGTGGTTTTGATGTTTGTTTGGTGCATGGGAGGCACGCAGGTGGTGCAAGTGGTTCAAGCGGCGCAATTTGGTTCACAAGCCCCCTTTGTCACATCGCGACCAACATCGCCAAGGCTGTACATGCAGTCTTGCCACCTCCCCCCTGTTGCGACCAAGCTTGCGTACAATTTTCTCTCCAAAAAAGATGCTCACCACGACGACCAAGTTTGCCGTAAAGGCTTGCTACTGCTACAACTACGACTATACGACCACCACTACCACTACTATCACTACTACCACTACTACCGCTGCCGCTACTGCCACCGCTACCGCTACTGCTACTGCTACTGCTACGACCCTTCCCCAACAAACCAGCCACTGTTTTTGATATCACCAGCCAGCGCCAAGCTTAGCAGTTTTTTGCGATTGCCATGTGCTGGACATTGAATACACTTGCTGCTCCACAGGCCTCAAGCCAAGACTTTCAGTGGGGTGCAGCATGGAGATACGGGGCTCGCCTATAAGGACGACTGAAATAAACCATATTACCTGGAGTACGAATGAACTGTGACGGTTGCGTTAATCTTTAACAGTAGTAGGTAGCAACTCCCTTCAACACCGGTTGACGGGAAGCCACACTGCCATGGAAAAGGTAATTCGCCAATAGCCCCATAGCTCGGCTAAAAACAGGACCTCGCAAAGTGCCACTATCCAACGTGAGGGTAGGGGTCCGGGGTGGGTTGGGGAGCATACTGACGCGTTCAGCGTTTGTTGCCCTTTGGATATTGCGGCAGCAAGATGCTTGATCTTGTGCCGAGCCTGGGACAGTTTCTTCAGATTCGCAGCTGGTTCCGACAATGTAACTTGTCACAGCACAGTCGGTAAACGTTCGGGCGAACGGCTGCTGCAAGATGTAAGGCGACGTAAAGCTCAAAACGCCCTTGTCCACGCTGCGACCCTTTTCAAGGATCGCGGAGTTCCCTACACAAATCCAGTGAAACCATGGTCTCGCGCCCTTCCGACCTGAACTTCCGAGATCCCGCATGCAAAATAGCAAAAGTCACTGTGCCTGCAGACTGAAACTCCACGGTAGCTTTACACGCGCCAGGACCTTGCATATTGCATGTTTTCTGGTTTTACGGATTTAGCGCCAGCGATCAACTCCAAAGTACTGACGCAATCGTGCCGACACTAGACACTGCATCAGGTACCCATATTCCTTTGATTTGCTTTTGATGATTTATCCTTCGTTAATTGGTGCTGATCCATTTTCCGAGCAAATGTACTGGCAATTGCAGAAGATCTCGCAACCATTAGTTTTCCTGCATGCTTCCTGGGTTTTGGTCGCGAAGGGTATTTCCGTGGAGGTGGTTTGGATGGCATGATGTGATGATGTTGATGTGAAGATTGTCTCTAAGACCTGGCGGGCGATTCGTCGTCGGATTTGGCAACCTCGGGTTCTTGGCGTGTTCGATCGCACGAAATGGCGCTGCATGTGTGGTGCGGTGATGGTGCGTTTTCGAAGTTGGCAACCTTTCCCTGTGGAACCGGAGTGTTTGGGTTCTCCGGGAAGCACCTCCCATTGTAAATTCCAATCCATTGGTCTCGCGTTGCTGCGCTCTCGAGATGACAACAGTGTCGGTCTATCTCCGTGGACCTGCGTACTGTCGGTCTCGGAAAGACAACCCGGATCCTCTCGACGGACGTGGCTGGTCCGCGCCCTCCGATACACACGATCCATTGCAAATTCCAATGCATTGGGCTCAAGCTGGTCTCCACATGACGACCCTCTCGTTGAACGCGGCGCATCCAGGCACTGCGAATGTGGTTTCGGCCACGGTCCTGCATCCCGCCAGGACGTGGGGGCAAGCATTTTGGTCGAGGGCTTGTAGAAGAGTTTACAGAGGGAGATATCTGGAGAGGTTTGAAGGGGTGTATGAGCGGGTTGTAGAATGGTTTATGCGGGATGGCTGAATGGATGGAATGATGTTTGGTGTCACAGGACTCTCGTTCTCTAGTTTGGTCCTCCACCCGCTCGCATGCCACAATGGCAGTGCATTCAATCGAGGCTCTCGACAGCTCTTCGAGACGTGGCTGCGTGCAGCGGCAAACCTGCCTCGTAGAAGGATGCTTGGCTGGATGAGATGATGGACGCCGAATGCAATTTTGTGCTGTGGTTTGCTTCACGTGGTGTCGGTGTGGCCATGCTCAGGGCATGTCATTCACGAGGTAAGGTTGTGGACCACGTGGCCCGGTGAGCAGGGAGTCCTGTCACAGCTATTGGCTCCTGGAAGTTATCCAGAGGCAGCTTCCGGCATTTCGTTGCCTTTCGAGAGCCCCTCGGCTGCGAGACTTCTTCTCCTTAGCCTCCCGCGGCAATGCGGCATCAAAGCTAGGTACAAAATTCACACTGCGCCAGAGGCCAGGTCTTGGTATGTCGCAAAACTCTGTGAGGTTCAGCCGTTGCCGTGGTCAACATGACAGCATCCTGGCTTGAGTTCTCAATGTCGCTGAGCGTAGATTGTGCGTGTCTTGAAGTCGGTGGAAGCAAACCGACGAGGAGATCAACAGCCCATGGGGGCACTACATACACCATGCTTGGGGAACAGAGGCTGAGAAATCTGACTGTCCGAGGACACGGGTTTTGGAGATTGAGGGCAGAGCAGGTTTCATGTAGTCAGTGATGAGAGGCAGGTATGACGGTGCAGTTAGATGCCACGCACTGCATACCCCATTCCGTGGGAGCCGTGCAGGCTACAGATCACGTTCTGCGCCGCCGAGCGACCTGACGAGACATGCATTCGCCGGATTTTTGTTGCTCCCACATTCCTGGCATGTCTGGCACTAGCAAAAGGCGATGGTGGACAGCTTGTTGCGTTTGGGAGCTGCTGACCCGCATGCCTTTCGACAGCTCGGGGCTAAGCTAGCGACTCACCGAAGTACTGTACAAATCGGTATTCCTCCGCCGGGGCTGTTGGCATTTGGAAGGCATATAGTGTACAACACATCACTACTGTACATGCTCGTGCCAGTAGTAGGGCCGCTCCGCAATGCTTGGCACCCAGGCTTTCGCGTGGGATCCTCCGGCACGCTACCAGGTGGCCACGCCCGGTGCCCCAGAAAGCCGTGAGGAACCGATCTAAAGTTTAGCATGCTCTTGGGACAAGCGTGCCGCTCCGCTAGAGAACTTCTCGCACAGCCTTGCTTCAGGGGGCTGCCCTGTAAGCATCGAGCACATCGTATTTTCGACATAGCCGCCGATCGTGACCGCCTCTTCTAGATTTGCCCATGATCGCTGGGGCTGGGGGTTGTTTTGAGTGATCCCGATTTCGACATCCGAGGCCCGAACTGGGGCGAACTCATGGAGTCTTTGATCTCTGCTTCGGAAACAAATTCCGTTGGATGATGCAATCCGGCGATCCCCTGTCCTGCATGCCACACGGATCTCCACGGCGCCTCCCGAAGCACATTAGCCCAAGCTTGCAAAGCAAAAGCATCAGGCAGAGTACACATGCAATCAAAGTTTTACGCGTGGCGTAGTTCGTTGTAGCCACAAGAGCACGTTCCATGCATTGTCCCCTGCTCCTCTACGGTACGGGCTTCGCCAGTGCGTTGACAAGACTAGACTATTGCAAGATCCACTTGTGGCTTAGTGCCGGTGAGCATCATTTACCGTTCCCAGAAGCACACGATTAAGAGGCAGTTTGCACAATTGCAGCCACATATTCTGGCCGCCATGAACGCAGCCCCAGCAGTCGCAGAGGCTGGTTGAAGTTTCTCTAGTTCAACAGCTGACAGCTGCAGCCAGCCTGCCTGCGCTGCTCTGCGGAATCTTGCGTGGCGTAATTAAGAGTGATCGCAACTGGCAGCTGCTGTGTATTCTGGAGCGGTTGTGGGCGATTGAGAGGAAAGGCGGCAGCTTTGCATTCGTCTACTGCGCGTTGTCAGGGCCTCAGCGAGATCCGCAGTGCCGGTAGGGTTCAGGGTTGCGAGACTCTTGCTCTCATTTGTGCTCTGGGAGGTCGAGAAATGCCCTGCGCTCCTTGCCAAAGGCCTGCAGTGCAATTGCCAGCTCGATAGGGAGCATCCAAGCGACCTTTTGCATCCAGCGTTGCTAAGCAGGCCGAAGAGTTGGAGCTCCAGAAGCTGCGCAGGCAAACCGGGGGCAAGAGCTTGCATCTGTGTAAGCCGTAGAGGTAAAGAAGAAATGGGCACGCGCTTTCGAAGCATGCTTTTCTCCCGGAGAACTTCTTTTCCACGAGCGGACAAAGTGCCGGTGAAACCAAAGAGCACCATGTGCCTAATTCAATCGGGGAGAACATGTAAGCGACATGCATGGGGCCATGACGCAGCATGCGCTAGACAACAAGCCACCGCGACGCTGGCCCAACTGGGAGCATTGATGCAAACATATTCTATATAAGGCATCACGGGCAGGACATATCGCTAAGCACGTGCAGTCTGACATCTTGCGCTTTCAACAGCCCAGCGGCTTACAGCTCTACATGCCTCAAACACTCCACCAGCAGGACGATCCGCTGCTCACAAGAAGACTCCGTGCAATAACATGGCCGAGCGGCGCAAGCGCGTGTTGCTGTCGCTCTTCATTGCAGCCGCATGTTGGGCAGTGCCGACGGGTGGGGACACGGTGTTTGTACTGGGGCGAGGGCTTGAAAGTGGAACGAGGCCCACGAGTGTCTCGCACACACGCGTACAGCGTGCAGGGATTTCGTCCGGGGTATCTGTGGAGAACATGGAGAAGCACCCGAGGCTGCCAGTGTGGCCTGCCTGGTTCGGTATCGTGTACATCTTGCTAGACCTTTTGCTTGGCAGACCAAGTGTCGGGGCATGGCTCGAAGATCGATTCGGAGGCCGTGTTTGCCCCATGATCTTTCGCGACACCGCAGCATCCGACCCCTTCCTGCTGGTCGCGCACCATCGCCACTCCTTCAATGCCTTCGATCCTTTTCGTTACCTCTTCCGGTTCTTGTTGCCGGAAGGCTTCCCAGCCCACCCACATCGGGGCTTCGAGACAGTCACCTATGTCCTTCGAGGCGGACTTGTGCATCGTGACTCCCTGGGTGTCAAGAAGTCGTATGGCGCACCAAAAGATTCCAGTGGAAGCGGCGCAGATGCTGCGGTGCAGTGGATGACTGCTGGAAGCGGAATGCTGCATGAGGAAATGTGGCGAACGGGTGAAGCTTTGGAGAGCTCTGACCAGGAGCTCTTTCAAATCTGGGTCAACCTTCCCAAGGCAGATAAGTATACCAACCCTCGAATGCAGATGCTGGGGAGTTCCGACACCTCCGAAAGTTTTTCTGCCTCAAAGCTTGGAGGAATGCTGACTGAAGTGCACGAGCGTGGACCGGTGCCCACGGTGGAGCCCGCTCCGGGAGTATCGGTACGCATCGTTGCAGGTGAAGCCGATGGTGTACGCAGCCCCATTGAGACCTTCTCGGACATGGCAATCCTCCACGTCACCCTGGAACCGGGAGCAGCTCCTCAGCTCTAAATTCAAAGGGGTGAGGCCCGGAAAATTTCGGCACTACACGAATCCTCTGCAGGTGTGGGCCTGGCCCAAGCCGGCCACGTGGAGCTGCTTGCTTTACACGCGCAAGGGTGAGGCCATTCTCAAAAGCGACGCGGAGACGCCACTTCCCGTCCATCACACAGCGACGCTCTCACATGCAGAGCCTCGGCAGGGATGTGCCTAGTGCGAAGGAATGCAAAAGAGAGCCTTATGTGGTCAGCTGATCCCGAAACAAGCCCAGACGGAGGGTTCAGCGGTGTAGGAGTGTTTTGGATCAGGGAATCCGCCACAGTCCTGGTTGGTCAAGGCTTCATGCACAGTAGTCGTACCCCAGAATACACCAGCCGGTGCCTGAAACTCGCATGGAGGGGCCCTTCTGCGCAGGCCACAGAAATTGAGCTGGACGGGGCTGACGGTCTGAATCAGATCCTGTAACCCAGTCGGAGACATCCCTGTCCGAGGAGATTGATGAGGAGCTCAAGCTAGCAGCAAGCACGCAAGAGGCTGCAGAAGTCCTTATCCTGTCTGGCGCGCCTTTGCGGGAGCCTGTAGCCATGGGCTCGAACATCATCATGACACTTGGCCTCGTCTGATCCAGTTACAGTTGGGCACTCGCCACTTGCAAGAGCTTCAGGCCTAACGTAATAGTCATTTGTCCGTACTGAGATGCTTCACAGCACCAGGAACTCGGATGCAGAGCTGGCCCTAGCCAATCGAGATTTGCGACGAGGCTATTTCGGGCCGAGTTGGGACCACACTGATGACGACGCCACTTGGTTGTCCACCGTTACGAATCACTGGGGCAAAATGGCAGATGCTCTGAGGCGCTGACATGCTGGCAATGTAAATAGTCCCGGAGTAACAAAGGCTGCATGGCATTCCTTTACTCTTACCTACTCACTTACTCTTGCTTCTGCAAAATGGTATCACAGTGACAATGACACCAACAGCCCTGGCCTCAGCCTCAGTCAGGCGGCTAGCGGGAAGGCCCATCCTGAAAAAGCGCGCGGGTTTTGTCCCAAGATGTCCCAAGCTCCCACTCTCATTGGTTTACTTACACCCGCTTGCAGGGAAAGGGCATTTCATAGATCTGATGAATATCTGAATTTAGTCAGTGGCCACGAATGCGGCGATTTAGCCGCAGTTCTGCTTCGAGTTCAAAGCCTGCCATTCCCCAAACATCTGGCTGGATGGAACACAGGACACACTGCGCGAGCGGGCGGCTACAGCCCGCACTCTCCTGGCAGGGTGTGGGCCCTTCAGCCCAAGCTCTAGAGCAGCTTCTCTGTCTGAGACGGTCACATGTCTGGTCGTGTGGAGAGGAAGTTTCCGTGCTCTCCGTGCATTGGGTCTTTATCGCCGCGCTTCATGCTAGCAGCTTCCTAGGGAAATACTTGAGAGAGAAGCAGTCAGACTAGTAGTACAAAGGTGTATACTTGGCAGAGATTGATGCCACTGCCGCTTGCAGTAACTATTCTGCACTTGTGCAGACGCTCCACTTCGGAAGAACTGCGAGCCGCCATCGATGCAGTCGAGGCACCATGTCAACCTCACGCGCTGTTCTGCTGGGTCAGGATGGTGGGGGTATGCTAGCCAGTGTAGGTATGCACCCTAAGGCCGTGGGGTGACGAGGAAAGTCAATCCTGTTACCAGGAAGCATCGCACTGGATCCTTGATCCCGGGTCCTACAAAGAGCAGGCGGTCAGCATTTCTCAGTGAGAGCCTGACTTTGACGTTGCTCCCGGGCTGGCCCAGCCGCAGCCTAGCATCCACGCAACTGCTGCTGTCACTGCTCGGATTTGGTGAGGGTGCGAGTGCATGCACAGGAGACACGAACATCCTCGTAATCTTCGAAAGCATAACGGGTCCCCGTCCAGCCTAAATCGAGAGCAGCGATTGTCTGAGCAGCCGTGCTGCAGCAAGGCTTGAAACCCGCAGCGAAACATACCACATCACGAGCAGGGCTTCACGCAAATTTAAAGAATTTCGTAGCAGTTTTGCCAAACGCTGCAATGGCAGTGCCGCGGAAACGGCGTTGCAGCTCTTTGGAGCTGGGCGAGGCCGGTGACATCCAATCATGCCGAGCATTCATGACAGCTCCGCCGCCGTTTGTTTTGTTACTGGTCTTACTCTGCCAGGCAGTCTCGAAGAGATTCCGCCGTGCCCATCAGCTGCTGCAAGCGGCTATTGAGCCACCCCCACCACGAGGGGATGAAGAGGAGGAAGGCCCTCAGATCGGTCGGGCTGGAGGCCTTAAGGTTAAGTTGCAGCCAGCCCTGACCAGGAAACTGATTGATTCACTTGTTGTCTTGTGAGACATCTTGGACGCATCCAGAGCATGAGCACAACCCGGGAGCAACGGAGCTGTTAGATGGCATTTGCAGGTGCAGTGCCAGCTCTAGGCACCGACCCTCGTTCTGACAGGTGCGATGCTGGAAGTGCTTCCTGCAAAATGGCCTGGCTGTGCCGCGCGGCTTCTGTCCCTGCGCGCAGCATCCAGGAGATTTGTCTTCCTGAACGTCTCAAGAGGGGTATCAGCCGATACACGGAAGAGCTCGCTTGACCATGTTTTGCAACGGCTTGCTTGACGCAGGACTCTAGCGCCGAGTGAGGACATTCCTCCTGGGACGATAGCAGGAGCTTTAATGCAGCATCTCTGCAATTGTGTGGGGTATTGTGCGCCCGTGGTCCCAGATATGTGCCGAGGCAGCCGCTTGCTCCAAGCCCGACGCAGTCTCTTAGAATTCCGCCACCCGGCACTTTGCAGTGGGACATCCCCTACTCCAAGCGAGCCGCCTTTGCTTATGGCAAGGACCACCAGAAAGAAGACCAGACTTGCGGATTCCCCGTGTCGTTTAAGGCTCTGGTGCGCTGGTTTCCACAGTTGACTTGCTGTGAGGACGTGCGAGACGGCTGGCTAAGAGCTCGACCCCGATACCTGGGATATGCTGAGTATGCAAGCTTCACGGCTGAGAATTACCTCCTGCTGCCTGATGAAAGCGGGCTGCTGCTGTTGATGTAGTACAGTATAAAAGAGCTTATACATTGCGCATGCTCTTGTTGTGGCTCGGGGGCTAGGCTTCCGAGATCTGAATCTGAAGTTCCGAAGTGTGCAAGATGAAGCCACAGTCGCATCTATGTATAGTGAAGCATCAAGAGAGAGCCACCAGTATCACTCTGTCCCAAGGCTGGCTGTCCTCCGCAGTGCCAGATGCCGAGCTTCGGCCACCCTCGCAGAAGGAGGAGAAACATGAATACATATGAACACGCTTGCATACTGAGGGTACTGGCGGCGGCTTTAGTCATATACCTGATATGTTGTATTGCTAAGACCTGCAGACATGCCGAAACTCAAGCAGCTCGTTCCGCAGGAAGCGGAGGCATCAGGGCTCGAACTCTTGCGACTCCTAGCAGCGCTGTGGCTCGGCATTTCCTTGTCGCAGTGGCTTTGGGCCGATATGAGACCCTCATTGCAATGTCGCTAGCTACCTAACAGCCGGCATACGGCACTTTGTCATCTCGCTCAGCTTCCTTCCTGTTGACACCGCCAGCGGCGTATGCTCTCCAGAGAGACACCCGACATGGGTTTTAGCGACTGGGAGGAAGCGGCGCTCAACTTTGTTGGAATGCTTCTGAGTCTTGAGGCGGAAGCTGGAGTCGGAAAAGCAAGGGCCGACACGCAAACAGCAGGAAAGCCGCAACACACAGAGGCCGAACGGCTGAGAAGCAAAAGTTCAAAGCTCACAAGACGCCAGAGTCACCGCAGCAAGCAGCAAATCTAGGCACCCAAGAAAGCCATAAGGCACCTGGCGTTGACACAGCTCTATAAAGGTCATAGTTCCAAGGAACGAGAGCTGCGATGCTGATCAGAACGATAGCGGCGCGCAGTCACCACAGTTCCATAGAAGTGACACTGCAGAGCTGCCTTCGTAATCGCATGCTTTCCGACGTGGCGATGCTCCTCGATGACCCTCCGTGCTTTGCTTCAGGGGTCTTCCGACGCAGCTTCCACCCGTGTCAGTTCGACACCGAAGTCACTCCTCCGTTTCGTTACGCGTTTTCTACATGAGCATGGGCCAGCACCTGTATTTGTCATGGCCAGCGCGACGCATGAGACGTGGAATGTAACCCGATGCAGTTTCTTTCAGTTTCGTAAATATCGCTAAGTCCAGTGAGCATTCTTCTTGGAGCACAGAGTGCAGAACTGAAGGAAGATGCCAAAGAAGAAGCGTCGTGTGCCGCCGATCACCCCAGAGGAGGAGAAGTTGGCGGAGGACGCCTTGTTTGGACAGGGCAGTGGGGACGAGGCCTGGAGGGAGTCGTGGCAAAGCCTTGGAAAGCTGCACACTGCGTGAAGGTCGTCGCCTCGCGCTTCAGTGTGGAGGTGACTCGAAGGCCGCCCGTCGACTCGTTCTGTCTTTTCTCAGTGTCAAATCGCAGAGAGAGGACACAGACAGACAGACAGCAGACAGAGAGAGACCTCACCCGGGCGGCGAAAGAAGGGACGAGTGATGCTAGTTTATTCGTTGGCGGGAGAGAGTATCCTGGGTGTTTCCCCGACAATGCGACAAGTGCGTTTGTCTTTTCTTTCATCAGGCATGAGACGCACCCCGGCCCGAGGGCCAACCCCCCCCACGGCTCGCAACAGTCCAAGGTCTGACAGGCCCCTTCCGGGGTGAGAGATAGGCTCGTTCCCCCACCTGTGCTTAGTCACCCATCCCCCCAAAACACCCCTGCTAAAACCATTGCCATGGCGAACCTGTAAGCACCAGGTGGGTCTTCCGAGGTCGCTCCAGAAACAGCTACGCGAAAGTGGCTTTTTGCCGGGACGTTTTTCGGAACAACACCCACGCACACAGCAGACATCAGAGTACGCACGAGGGGGGGGGGGGGCCTGAACTGCTTCCGGGCAAGGCAAAGGCCTGGGTAACCCGAAACAGTGCGGACCATTCGCGGCTTCGCCAAAAGAAGACAGCCAAGAGAGGGCTAGCTTCAGTCTTGCAGGCACAGAAAGAAGAAGTTGGCACCTGCAGGGTGTTACTGCATCCCCCTCAGTGGGTCCAGAATACCATAGAAAAACCGCATCTCAAGGAGTTGCGCAGTTGTGGGAGAAGACACAACGAATCAGCCATAGTGTTCGGTGCCTTTCCATCTCACGGCATCTCACGATCTGAACTGGTCATTTGACACCTGAAGCTTGTCGAAAGTTTTCTGAAACTTGCTTGAAGTGCAGTGTACCTATGTCGTGCTATGACTCGTCATTGCAGCACAAATTCAGCAAACCCTGTCACGGCGCAACAGAGAGGTGATGCGTCATTGAATCTGAACGGTTTCGCATTCGCTTCAGGCAACTAGAATGCCTGCGGCCGGGAGAGTGGCTGAATGACGAAGTCATCAACTTTTACTACAAGTTGCTGCAGGCGCAGGGAACCGCGTAATCCCTTCCCCCTAATATTAAAGGGACCCCTCCCCTCCCCTAATAGAAAAACTGGATTTCGGAGGGTCAGTTTTTATATTGGGGGGGTTTCGGGGCATCCGGATGTGAGTGTGATTGATTATGGACCCAGGCAGTGCCCCAGGCCCTAAAGCTTTAGCCCTGAACCCTAAACGCCTAAACCGCTGTTTCACACACACACACACACACACACTGGTGTAGCTGCTGCGACCAGTGAATCTTAAGTATGTCGTCGGTAATATGCTGACAAGGTATGGTCTTCGTAAAGATGACCACGTAGGATCACCTACTATCTAGGCCACCCCGGCCTGTTGAGTCTATTCCATGAACATGTCCTTGTTTCTGACGTTACCTTTAGTTCCCTTCCCAATGGTCAGAGAGGTGATCCGTGCAGGCTGATCTCAGGGTCCTACTGATTGGATATTGTGTGGCAATGGAGTAGGACCCTGAACGGGATACAGTCTCCTGGAGTACAGTTAGTTTATGTGTTGCAATTGCTGTTTTTGGTGAAATCAAGTCATGACTCCTCCGGTTAGAATGTCTCACTCAGCAGACCTCCGAACCATATGCCTCGCCTGGATTGTCCGAGTGTGAGCGCCGGAACCCCTAAACCCTAAAGCTCTGGTCTCTTCGGTCTGACTTTTACTGCTGTAGTCTTTGGCTCTATTAAAACCAATAAATCCTAGGCCCCCTCCTACGAATGCTGTTAATCAACTTTCAGTTGTGGGCCCGAAACCGCGAAATTCCGGTGGCCGAGAGTTTTTATACTTGGGGGCGGGCGGGGCGTTAATGTTAGGGGGAAGGGATTAGAGGGAATGTAGGGTTCGAGCGTGAAGTCTGGATCTGGAGTTTGCATGCCGAATTCTGACAGGAGCGGAGCAAAACGATCGCATCATCACCAAAGAGCTGGTTCACCAATTCATTCTTTTGGCCCAAGCTCAGTGGCAACAACAAGGATGCGTCGGGTGCTGCAGTTAAGCTCAACAAGACAGTTCGGCAGACTTTGTCGGAGCGTTTCATTCTCTAGCCTGCCTCGCCCTGGAGGAATACAACTACAAAGAAGTGAGGAGGTGGACAATAAAAGCAAAGGTTGACATCTTCGATATGGACTATGTTATATTCCCGATGAACATTGCCGAGACTCATTGGTCGATGGGGGCCATCGACATGAGAGAAAAGGGTTTCCGCTACTTCGACTCGATGTTCAGTGCCTGCATTGCATTGGCCTCCTTTCCGTGGTAAGGTGCATCATACGGCTATGCCACGTCCCTGGCTGCCTGCTGAGGCAATCCGCCGTCCAACTTCGTGGCTTTCCTCCGTCGCTATCTGGCTGATGAGCACAAGGACTTGAAGCTTTCGCTGTGCAATATAACATGTACATCGGCATCCGTCGGAGTGTAGTAGTCCATCAATGTGTTAGCCTTGGGTGCTGTCACCCACTTGGCTTGCTTGACTCCGCTGCATGCTTGCAGGCCAAAAAGAGCAAAGATCTCCAAGGTGCTGACAACGAGACACCTTCGCGCACATTTCACCGTGCTGCTTCTTGCGACAAGACGTAATTTGTGCTGCAACGCAGGCGTGGACGACTGGAAGCTTTTGACCCCTGAGCCTCCGGTGCCGCAACAGCGTAATGGGCACCTTGGCGAATAATGTGTACTTGTATTTCGACGCAGGGGCTCGGGAGGGTTAGCGCTGTTTAATGCCCCTGGCAAAGCCAGGTACGACTGCGGCGTTTTCACTTGCTTCTTTGCAGACTGCTTGTCTGCAGGGAAGTCGTTGGGATTCGACCAGGCTTTTCACATCGCGTTGCCATGATGTGTTCGGGGCGATTGAAGCTGGAATTGAAGCCTGCTCCTCCCGGGAGGAAGACATGCCGACCCTCCGGAAGAGGCGCTGCAAGTGACTGGAAGAAACCGCCTCCTTGCTACGACACCTATACAGTACCCACAATACCTGACAGGATCGCTGCGCGCATCATGAAGGCAGATGAGAAGTTCGACCCGATTCTGTAGGTTACCAGCCATCGGCGAACGGAACTTCCTCTGCCTGATCTTACGGTTCGAGATGCATCCTGTCCATTTAGGCCGTGCCTGGTGGTTATGTTGATGCATAAGCTGAGATCACCTGCGTGCAGCAGATAAAACGAATTCTTTGCACCAGCTTTCGTGCGCACCACACCAAAGCCGACCAGCTGGAATCTGCAAAGCCTGGAAAGCAGGTGGACACCGACGTATTGGCTGAAAAGCTGCAGCGTTTGGAGGCAAGATTGCCTTCTAGGGACGTCCTCTCAGTTAAGCATGTGTTGCGATGCATATGATATGGGGGTGTGCAATGAACCCATCATTGCAAACTGCAGCTTCTTTCTTCTTCGTCTGAGTACTTTCCGCGAATAAAACCACGGGCAGTTGCGCATGCGGTCAGCAATATCCGCTAGAGAGCCTTCGGCGAGCACAGGAGATCCACCGAAATTGGTCGACAATTCGGCTCGCAATCGTGGCATCCGCAAACTTTAGAGGGACAGCTTGGACGGCTGCCGTCAGATGCAAGCTGCAGATTTCAGCATGGGGCTACGAGTCAGCCGTGTGGACAGCGGAGATTTTCGGTACCCCGCTTCGCCTGAATTCGACCAGACCGCAGGCACTGGTGCACAACGCTCCCGAGGTTGCAGGTGAATGCCTCAATTTGCGAGAGCGCCAGTTGTCTTTACATATTATAGGCGGCCTTGCCAGCCCGCTGCATTGTGCCTGAGGCTTGCGGAAGAAGGAAAAGAAGGTGCTTTGAAGGGAATTGGTCGCTGCAGCCCTCGTCCCGTGCCGACCCGATGTAAAACAGGCCGAGGCGACTCAGCTTCGGATCGAGCTCAGCAGCTTTCGCCCCGGCAAGGCTGAAAAAAACATCCTCGGATGTGCGTAGGGTCATGGAGTCATAAGAATGCAGCGTTCGCCAGCTATGTGCGGTTCAAGTTTAACAGAGGCGAGCAAAAGTAGATGCAGTAGTTGCTTGCAGCTGGTCCCAAACGATCTCAGGCCAGCTCCTGGTTCCCAAGGACGACCCGCAGAGGAGAGCGCGCTCCTTGTGTTGGCGGCGAAGTGTCCATGTTTGCCAAAACGGCAGGGCACTCGCCAGCAGTCTCCGGGAGGTTTGCGAAGTGATGGATCGCTTCGGCCTCAGACTTTGTCAGGGAGAGGCTGATTCCACTTCTGTGCCGAAGCTAAGGCTTCTGCAAGCAGTCCAGGCCAGCCGCCTTGAGGAGGCATGAGGCGAAAGTGCTCTGGTGCTCTGCGTCAGGAAGAAGAGGGATCCCGAAGGCAGTGCGGCGCCGAGCCCTGGCTGGAGTCCCGCGGCGAGTCCGAACGAGAGTCCGGCGGTTAGCCGCCGTGGAAGTATCGGAAGCGAGGAGGCTGGGACTCGATGCAATGCTTCGCAGGCTTGAGCCGATGGGCAGGCGTGGCTCTTGCGCAGGACCCCGCGAAAGCGAACCAAGCCATGCGTCAAAGCACGACCGGCCTGGGCATCAGGCGATACCTGCGCGACCCTCAGCGAATTTCGCTGGTTCAAACAGGCATTCTGGTGCATCCTCTGGTGCTTCAAGAAGCACTCCATGGCATTCTAACAGCTGAGGTCTAGCTTCCTGTCACGAAGGCGGGAGATGATGGCAAGAAAGAACCAAAGCAGCTCTCGAAATCCTTTGATTATAGTCAGAGTCAGAGCAGTTCTTCCATGTTGGGCTGTTCAATTCGAGCCCATGTGCTTGAAGGAACTCCGAGTCGGTAACTTAGTCTCTTGGAGCCTTTCATGTGGCCCCATGCTTCTGGCGGACTACTCTGGGCTCTAGAGTGCGCTGAGTTCTGTTTCCAATATCGAGGCCGGCGCAAGAGCCCTTCGTGCTCCAGGTAGGGAACATGCGATATGTCGATACTTGGTGCTGAAATGGGCGACCAAACACCGCATGAAGGCATTGAGAGTCTTTGGCATGCCATCCTTCGGTTATGTGACTTATGTGGTTCCGCAGCGAGAGGAGGCATGTGCCAGTAGAATTTCTTCAAGAAGAACAGACAGCAATGTACTTGCACGATGTTCAAAACCCGATTGCATGCATGTTTCGGGCACAGAATTCAGCGTGGGATTCTTCTAGTTTCTGGGGCCAGTTTCATGAGTGTCTGGCAAGATCTCGGACTGCCATGCACCTGATCCCAGTGGCCAACGACTTCCGCGCCATTGCGTGCTCTGTGCTATTGGGAGTCGGCTGGCAATGCTTGACCGCAGCCTCCTCAAGTGCCCCCGTTCGCTCGGATCGCGAGCAGCCTGAGCCCGTGTCATCTCTGAGAGTGCTCTCGGCTGGGGCAGTGGACGCAGCTCCACCGTTTTACCTCACCGCTCGGCACAGCTATCCTTACCCCGACTGGTCCGCATGGCACGGACATAAGCAGCTCCAGTCCGAGTCGCTCGCCGCGTTGCATGAGGTCGAGCAGAACCAGTCTACATGGATCCTGCCGCACAAACTCAGGACCTCCGTGAGGAATCACGACAGCATCCTGCTGGACGTGGAGGAGCAGCAATTCTTAGTGACTGTCCTTGGGCGATGGAGTCGATTCATTCAAGTCATGGACCTTTCCTCTGGTCAACAGTGGTCGAAGCGGACCCGTGCCTCAGACCCAGAAGGTGATCCCCTTGACAACTTGAACCATGTTTACACAGTGCTTGTTGACAAGCTGGGTGGTGCTGGCAAGGAGGTGTGGCTCCTGTGCGGCTTTCGAGGCGAGGTCCCTGCAACATCCCCCTCCTTTTGCTCAAAACCTCATAGGAGACTTTACTGGACAAGCTCTGAATCAAACAGCCCTGGCCCTGAATCCTTGAAATTGGTTGAAGCCCTGGAAGAGGCGACCAGTGAAGCGGGAGTACTCCATCAAGTATATGCGAATCTTGGACTTGGAGACCCTGGAACTTCGAACGGGCCCGAAGCTGCCCTTTGCCGGCGGAGCCTGTACTGCGGAGGCTCTAGAGATAATCCCGGATGAGCCGCCCATGATTTGCAGCTTCGGTGGAACGGATGGTCACCACAATTCAGGCATTTTCCAGCCATATGCTACATGTTACGACCGCCTGCGGGAACGATTCTGGTGCCCTTTTGGTAAGATGCCATTTGGCATGGATCATGCTAGCATCGTGGTAACTCCAGCTGGGGTCTGTGGTGAGCAGAAGCAGAATCGCTCTGTAATCATCCTCAACTACCGCATAGTTCCGTATGGCAGCCAGCGTCCAGAAATGCTGGCTCACGATCTGCCAGAAGACGGATGGACAGCAGAGGAGCTGTCTGAATTATCCATGAATGGTACATCTACCACAACGGTTCCTTCACGCCAGCTGATCCTTGCAATTCGCCTCGTGATGCGAGTGGGATGGCCACCGCCAATGGTGGCAGGTTGATGTTGAATTTCGGTGGCATATACTACACGCACGACAAGAACGGACACCCTGTCGGCCACCGCTTCAGTGCCATCCGCAGCTTTGATGTTTGCGAAAAGAGCTGGACAATTGAGGGAGACCTCGGGATGGATACTTTCGCATTGCAAACAGCGGCCAGCCAGAAGCTTCAAATTGCAGTGACCTGCGGGGGCGAGTCGGTGGAGAGGTTCTTGAATCGAAACGGAAACCAGCCGTGGTGCATTGTTCACCGTCCACGACACGACCTTGTTTTGGCCAATCGTCATGGCGTTGCGGCCACTCACGGATTTCCTTCAGGGTTCGTTCCCGGCAAGGTGCAGGTTACTGGCAAGTCGACGATTCTCGTGCCTGTCCCGACCACGACCACCATGACGACAACGGCCATGACGACCACCACGACCACTACGACCACCACGACCGCCACTACCACGACCACCACGACTACGACGACAGCGACCACAGAGGATGCAGGCGACAATGACGAAGACGACGTCGGGAAGCTGCCGAGCTCGGCCACTGCCGGCACCGTCTCCGCTGTGCTTGGACTCGCGGCGACTCAGCTTTTGCCTACGCTCATGGGGTGAATGGCCCCCCCGCATTGCAAAAAAAGCAGCTTGGCCCTGGTCTCAATCTCAGGCCAGCAGTGAGCTGCAACAGCTGAAATCGAACGCCGAAAGGGCCCACAGTGAATATCCCAAACCTGGCACACGCTGAGGTTGCCTCCCCCTGGTAATTAGGTTAGTAGGTGCAAGACTTGATGCTACTCCGACTTTCATTCGGCCACCAGTGCGCTAATTAAGCTGATGACCCTGAGTATCAGTGGTGTGCTGTGATCCGTGAAGGATCTCAGCATGGCTGGTCCATCCTGTGGGTCCTGACAAGACAATGCAGGGGGAGAATAAGCTGATGCGAGTGTGAGAACGTACAGTGCCAGTGCCGCACCTGTTCATACCTGTTCCTCGAACTGTGGCTTGCATGATGGATGATGGAGGTCGACACCGCTGGTCAGCTGCGAGAATGGGATGCTGGGTCCTTGATGAGTTGTGTCGGCAAGGATCCTTTGCACCGGTCAGAGCTGCACACCTTCGATCAAGACCTGCTGTTTGCAGAGATGACCCTGTGTAACTTTGTTCGAGATCGCACAACCTCACACACGCACACACAAACACGCATGCGGGAAACTAAATCCAAAGTCAACTTAACCAAATGTCCTGAAGCGGCCTCCTGGCTGGCTTTCTTCGTTGAGGCTACCGACTCCTTCAATAGCCCTCGCCGTGCGGTGCGGATAGAAGTGCGTCAGCTCAGCTTCGTGGCGAGCCTTTGCATGTCGTTGGGCGAGGGCAGTTCAAACATTTTCGTGCGGCGATCGTAGTGCGCAGAGTCAAGGCAAACGCCCTCCAGCGCTTGTCTCGGGACGCACACACCCTGTCGCAAGCCACCGACCAAGTAGCTTGGTTGCACCGCTGGCTGAGCACCAGCTGCCGTGGCCGCTGGCCTTAGCTTGAGCCGCCTCTCAGCCGTGGATGCTTGGTCTGCGCCTTAGCAGTGACCAGAAGCGTCCTTGCTCAGATGGCTTCGATGATCCACACGGAGACGTTCGATGCGTGGCTACCCAGACGGAACGAGTTGCAAGACTAGCTGTGAGGCAATGAGGCGAGCACGGCAAGCATGTCAGCTTGGGTAGCTGCTCAGCCCTGCGGCGCTGAGAATCTGAGAACACTCCCGTGCTCAGTCCGAACTGCAATGCAACTCGGATGCGTAGTCGGTTGTGGCATTATCTGCGGAGGTGGTCGAGGAACGCGTTCGGCAGACGGTGGAGGACGGATGCAAGCCAGTTCGGGCACAGTTGCAACAGATGCTTTGCTTTGAGCCTGGAATCCTGGAACAACTGGAAAGATCGCTTACGATATGCACATCTCACCGTTTTAAGCGTCTCCATGTAAGCCTGAGCAGCGAGTTTGAACATTGGCAACTTGTATGTGCTGCTACGATGCTTGCTGCTCCAGGACTCACAGGATGTGGTAGAGACCCTTAAAGACGTTGCGATAGGCAGGACGTGTGCGTCTTGTTGCAGAGCACCAGCGACTTGGCCTTTGGTTTGCGGATCTAGTTTGGCCTTGTGCCGTGAGCTTGTCAGCTGTCCAGAGTTGGGCAACAAACTTCCTTGCAGGCAAATCTCGGTCGCGCGTTCTGAGCTCAGCTATCCCAAACTCGTGGGGTACCGGGTAGACCAACGTAGACCATGAGACCTCAGACACTCGGAGCAGATTTGAGAATGGTAGAACTTTACATTTTGATGCGTGGTCCTACCCGTTTAGTTGCAAGATGAGCTGCGTCAGGTTCAGCGCGCAACGCTAGTGGTGGGCATTGCTGGAGCCCCTTGCTCAGCATAGCTCATGCAGAGGATCCCCGGACTCACGCAGGAAATTGCTGTCGAACAACTTGTAATTTTCGTCACAAACTTGCCAATGGAACATGCTCCCATAAGCGCACGGCGCCATTTCCAGGCACCATGCTGCTGATAGCTGAAAGCTCCTGCCAAAGAACCACCATGTGCAGCAGCCAGCAGTTTTCCCATGGTAGGCGACTGCCGGCGCTTTGCCTGGCACTCGGCTGTCACGACGTTGCCAGCACATCCGAAGCTTGTCGATCAACGCATACCGTTACAGCAGCATTTAAGTCCACACGAGAACTGGAAAACACTTGCTGTTTCAAAACGTTGCAGGATTTATGATGTATAGTCCCACTGCGTTCCTGCCCGACTACTCGAGAGCTTAACTGCAGACCAGGACGTTGCATCACCCACTTTACGGTCGGACCGGTTGTCGTTGAAAATGCTTTGCTTAGACAGAAACTCAAACGCTGCTCAGTGCAGCAAGTCATGGACAGCAGCAGTAGGGCTTAGCAACAACACTTCCCCCGCGATGTTCACAATAATAGCAAAACATGCTTGCTTGTGAAATTTGCGCAATCTTTCACTACACCGCACGGCATAACCAAGGCCGCTGTCACTACCTGAAGATTCCAAATATTATGTGAGGAACAAGTACGACCCCAACTGGCTGGCAAGGCCAAAACAGGGACGCGATAGGTGCCTTGCACGCTAGAGCTCTTGAGTACTTTGGGCTGACATGTATGCCCAGGGCCGGCCTCCCCATACTCGGCAGTGTCGCTGTCGCTGCAGGGACGGCCAGTCTCACTGCCTCCCACTCAGCGAGGTTTTCGGTTGTACGAGAGTGGGATATCTTGCTGCTGCTGAGGTATCAGCTGTCACTGCAAGATGTCGAAACGAGGGTTGCGCTACCAGCACTACTGCCCCACTTCTGAATGATCCAGTTAGAGCGTTGTCACAACCGTGCAACGGAACAGAGAGCAGCACAACTTGTGCCCGTTGGGGACCTCTTGCATTCCATGAGCCGAACCGATATCCGCCGCAGAGCCGACACATGCTCGTTGCAGTCACATGTCCGAGGCTTTGACCGGAAAGATCGCACACGACCGCTTTGCACAGCGGGCTGCAGAGGTAGCCGAAGGCGAGAGTTGTTCAATATCCACTACGCCATCCAGACATTGGTGGATAGTGTGCTGCTGCACTGTAGTCAGTCATGCCGCCGATTCCGAGACCAGCATGCTCTAGAGGTGGTGACGGTCGAGGCTGAGTCCCACGCAGACACATGCTGTTACGGCTTTGCAGGTACTGCTAGTGCACGCTGAGAAACCATTCGAGGAAGCAAAAATCTGCACTCACTCTCCACTAATCTGTAGCGCTTCCTTCTGTAACTCAAGATGATTTCACCGACGACAGCCTGTTTGTCTGACGAACATCTCGAAGAAATGGTGGTGCCTGCGTGCACCGAAAGCAGGTGGCCGACAAGTTGCAAGGAGGAGCACCGTGTGACGTAGGGATCTTGTGACAGTCGCGACGATATGCTAGCGATCGCGCTCTCATGCTTTCCTCTAGGCGCACCCTGTACAAAAATCAGCAAACTGTTTGACAACGGCGCCCAGCTCGCCAAAGGCAACTTGGGCACCATGGGCGCGTTAATCTTGCGACGACTTGGGTCACTCGTTTCGACTTGGGTCACCCATTTCATGCCTGCAGACTCCAGCTGTACAGCTTCAACTTACTGCCGGCGTGCCGAAAAGCGCCTTTAGCGGCTCAAGTTTAGGCTCGTAGTGGGTTCGGCCAGTCTTGCGAAAATTGATGCAAGCAATTTGTCATTGGTACGGTTGAATTTGTAAGATCTCTTCTGCACATGGTCACGCTGATAACTTACGCCAGGTACGCGTGGGTTCTCCTAAGTGATGCCATGCATGTCGCGACAAGAGATCATTCTCGCACCAGTGTCAGATGACTGTCCTCTGATCTCCTTGGGATCCGCCAGCACAAGATGGTCTGGATTCTGGATCGTATTGCGAGACTCGTGGTCTTTTCGCTCTGTGCTACCGAGGGTTCACACATTGCAGCCAAGACCTTGACCGCGTCAACCTGCAGCTGTATAGCTCACCAGCAGCATGCCCGAGCATCCCAGACCAGAGCTGCAAAAATAATATCACAGAATCAGGACCAGTGTGTCGTCCAATTCGCTTGAAGCCACTATGATTTTCCTGTTACGTAGCATGGATGCTTTTCGAAGCAAGCTCACGAACAGAAACGGACGGATCTCTAGAGTACAGACTGCCCAGAGCCCACCCACAATCACACCTACCGGAAGTGTCAGTGTTACCCTTACCCTGCCGCTGCCAGAAGAAGCAGGAGGCGAGTTTATACACGGCGCCAGTAGCGTGCTTCCAAGCCTTCTGCCGAGCTCTGAGTGGCGATGCTCGCAAGAGCAGAGCAGCGAAGCATGCATGAAGTCAGCATGTAGGGATCGAATGGCGCAGCTCCGAAGAATTTAGATGTTGCTCGGAAGATATGCTGTCGAGATACGTGCCTGCGCCATGCAAGGAAGATGTCGGCGCAGAACCAAAGGTTTCCGTTTGGCAGACTTACAGGCCCCAGTGAGAGGGGAGAGTCTCTGGGTTGAGAACTTGGCAGAAGACAAGCCTTGGCAGTTGAGAGTAGGAACTAGCAGCTCGAAACCTGGAAAGGGCAGCATCGTAGCATCTGTTACTGGCAGAAGCCAGTCGCGCACAGTCAGCCAGTGGCAGGACTGGAGGAAGGGTTTGCTGCAAGCCGCAAGCTCAGCGCTCCTAGCTTGAACATGACTCTCATCCCAACTTTCCGTGCATCCGTCATGCCATGCTTGGCATCGTCTCAGGAGCGGTTGCTGGTGGAGAACCTAGCACACAGCCAAAGCGCCCCAGGATTCGCAACATGCGAGCAAAGTTCATCTGTTGAAGGATGCAACTTAGTACAGCTAATACAAAGTTGAAGGTGCGAGCGCCACGCTGCGCAGTCAACATTGCTTGCCCCAACACTGCGTGGCCGTTCATATGGGCACAGCTGCCACACTGCCGACATTGCGAGCCTAACTGCCGCTTCTCTCTTTGCAAAGCGATGCATGTGTATCCAATTTAATTGAGCAGCTTGCACGGAAAGTGGTGGCATGATGTAACTTGTCTGTTTGAAGATCAAAAAGCCAGCGAACTGTGATGCATTTGCTGACCGTACTTGCTTACGCCGACAGCTCGAGCTACAAGCAAGGAAGGGAAGTACAAAAGACCGTCTAATCGAGGATTTGGGGTGCATCTCGATCTTGGCAAGAGCACTCCCACAGGGCCATACTGCCGGGGACATGCGGGGATGTGAGAGAGAGCTGCGAGCAGGAGCGCAGGGCCAGGAACCCGGCCAGAAGCCAAGTGCCGCCCAGTTTTTCTTTCTGGATGTCCGGGGGGGAGGCAGCCAAGCCTGGGCAGATACCGACAAGAGAAGAGTAGGCTAACGGCAACGTAGAAAACTAACAGGCCTGTTGGCGGGCCACGTTGGTCAGTGCCTCAGTATTTGTTGAGGAAACAATAGCCGTTATCCACGAGCTGATGTTTCGTGTAGGCTTGGATTGAATTGCCCATATTGCACAGACCTACGACACAAGCAGGCTGTTTTGGTCCATGCGTGCCAGTACAGGTCAGGGCACATGCATGCATGGACTCTGCCGGTTTTCCTGCACAAGGATATCGGTCCTAGTTTGTGCATGCATTGACGTTTTACCCGAAGACCGTTGGTAAAATGCTGCACAAAGACTGCCATGTGGTGATTATTTTTCTAGGTACCCGAGATTGTTGCAAGAATGTCGGGGCTTGCACCAAAACCATGGAAGTTTCTCGTAAACATCCTACTAATCGCCAGTAGACCACAGCTTCTGTAGTTGCACAGGCGCGTCACACCTCGTGCGCCCGATTCTCAGTAGCCCACCTTTGCCACTGCTGCTGGTTGTTCATCGTGAATCCCATCACCAAGGCTTTTGTATGACGTATGTGCGCCTATTCTTTTTCGGAGGTGTCAACCGCTTAGAAATGCCAAGGCCGAGAACCTTCGAGTCCGTGATTCGATCGGGTGAGAGCTCAAGGCTATTAGGCGGGGGCAATTTGTGTGCTGCAGAATAGAAGGTAATCAGGTAAGGTACTCGTGAAGATTCAGCGAACTTCAGTTGTTTCCTGTCGCGCAGCTTTGCTCATCTCTGCCCCAAATGCAGCTAGTTCTTATCTGACTCATCCCCAGTTGGTGCTGCTGCAGGCCCAAAGCACGACTCCTTTAAGGAGAAAGTGCAACAAGTGTTAGAGCAGGCGGGGGCGGAAGCTTGCAACTCCTCGTGTATGCATGTTGGCCTGTTGGCTGTCGCCCACTGGTATCGGACCAGTGCAGCTTCAAATCACGAGCTGCCAGGACAAGAGCATCCGACAAGAGGACGACGCGGTGGTCGGCACCGTCACGGTGCATTCGAATACTCGCACGAGCCTTGGATTTCTGTCGCCTCGCCAGGAGCTCGAGCGGGAGACGGACGGGATGCTGAAAAGGCGCTTGAACGAGGAAGCCACGCGGTGGGTTTCTTTTCATGCTTGCATACAGGCGCATACATGCCTCCGTTTGCCTACCCAAATCTGGGAGCTTTAAGGGCTACTGTACTGGTCTTTGTTGACTCCAACTACGATCCAGTTGTTCCCACCAGGGGAGGCACATTTCAACGTATTAGGCCAAAAGCCAACAGCCGCAGGGTTCCACTTTGACCATGTCATAAGGCCAGCGGTGAAGGAACTCAATTTGCAAGCCCGGACCAAGTGGGCGTGTGACTACTTGGAGGGCGAGTTTCAAGGAAGCATGACAAGCCGTGAGGACCTCTCAACATGTCCTGGGCCAACGCACCCGTATCCTGCTATGGGCTAACTTCAGAGCTCGCTCGCCCCAGGCCCTGCGAAGTAAGACGCGCTCACCTGATTGAGAACCATGTTGTGTGTGTCTATGTGTGTCTTGCTGTCGGCCGAGCATGTTCGAATGTTGTAAGGGGAGGGCCTAGCACCTTGTTTAGGGCCTAGCACCTTGTTTTGAGTCGAACGCAGGAGCGGATGCGCAGGCCCTGACCTAAGAGAACAGACTAAGAGATCCGCCGTATGCGCCTGCTTTGAGGCCTGCTTTCCGAAACATGCACACAATGTCAATAAATTAAGAATCTGGTTGCTAATGCATGAACACATGTCAAATGAAGTCGGGTTCCCAGCGTCACCAAGGGCCAACTTTATGACCCGAACCCGGGCCAAGCCGAAGACGTTCTCTGACGACCGAACCTGAGCATCCTGTGTCTCAGGGTGGTTCTGCTTTCTGGGGATATACGTCTGTACTCATAGGCTGCTCGTAGGACGCCCATGGTGAACCCTTTCCTGGGGCACTCGTTGCAAGGTGCCCCTGCTGGGTACCTCCGAAGCCGCGGTGCGCTGCGCTTTCCGCAGTGAGCCTTGCATCCTGAAAATCCTACAGTTGCCAGGTTTCCTGGTACCTGAAGCATGGCACCTCCACGGACGGCCACTAGTAGCGCAGGGCGGGAACCTTAGGCGACCGGCCCCTGCTGAAATGCACGATTGTTGGACGAGCTGTCAAGGCAAACCACGTGGCAGGTAAGTTTCTTCACTTCGCGACCCAAGGTAAACTTAAGAGGGCTTGGTGCACGCCAGTGATGGCACGCTGTTCCGCAGAGTCTCACACCATGTTTTTTGCGTGGGCAATCTCCCGAAAGCGGTCAGTCTGTTGTCAACGAATTGGAGATGGGTGCCCAAGCTTTCAGACTCACATGCTCGTCGTGTCTTAGACACACTTTCAGCAGTAGCAGTCCGTCCCGAAAAAGGCATGCCACGAGGAACCTAAACCAGAGCGTGGAAGGTGAGCTGGAGTCACTTGACATTTGGCCTTTCTGCCAACTCCTGGAAGTATTGGGGTGGCATGATGTTGTCTGAGTTAGCCCCCTTCATTTCGCAATCGTGTAGTGTTATTCATTGAAACTGTAGGAAAGACTTTCATGGCGCATGGTTGAAGCTGAGGCTCGACAGTGCCCGGCTCGATGGGTGAAGCAAAGTGTCTGTTTCCGAGACTCTCGTCGAACGCAACCCTTAATTGGAACTAGCGACAACTGCTCCCTCTCGCACGACAAAGTACGTCTTCTTGCCTGGGCTTAGGCCTAGCCGCCTAGCCATGGCTCGACGTCTCCACGTGATCTCGCGACAGCTCTGCCCGGAAGCAGCGGCAAGCGAAGCAAGCGAAAGCGAGTCGAAATCTCTCGCGGAGATCGTCTCAGCAGCTCTCGAAGATGCGGGAAAGTACACGGCGGATATGGACGAGCTGAGAGCCGGCGGAAAGATGCCTGAGAGCACGTACTATGACTTCATGCAGGCTACCAATCACCTTCTTCTGGTCAACGCAAAGAGAGACCTGGTCCCGCTGCTGCACGCTTCCGAGGAAGAAGGTTACTTGGCCCTTACTGACATGTGGGCTTTGAAGTGTCAGTTTGTCGTCAGCCTGTCATATTGAAAGAGCAGCTGCGCAACGAACACTGTCATCAAGTCGCTATGCCTGAACATTACGATCTGTGTTGCACGTGATATTTGTTAATCCTTCTCTTTACGCATGCTTGCAATGCACTATGTGGTTCGGTCTCGCTTGTCCGCCCCGATCTGCCCGGTTGGTTTGCTGTGCCCGGCCTCATGGTGGCGCCCGTCCGTAAGACGGTTGGCACATTTAAGATCACTTAAGATGCGAGCTGCTCTGATGAGACTGGCAGTCTACTCAGGCGGCCTGGAATTGACCAAAGTCTTGCCCGGGCCATGGGATGAAGCCCGCAGCATCTCAGAGAAGGTTGGACTGCTGCAGGAAGTGCAGAAAGCTTTTGCACGGGGCAGCAACGTGCAGCAAATTGCGGCCTGGCAGCAGCAGTTTGGCAAACGTGGCCTCAGCAGCAACTTGGCCGTGCCACAGGTGGTAAACCGAGGGTCGGGCAGCCAGATCGTCACCCGTGTCGACACCCGAGTCATCGTAGCTGACCCGGACGATGCTGCTAGACTTTCACGGATACATGTGCAGAAGGACGGACAGTTTGAGGCTGCACTGATGTCGAGCGTGATATCCACAACAGACAACACGGAATGGAGTGCTCAACGGAAGCACTTGACGGAAGCATTCTTGCCTTTGTCTTCCTTGGCCCAGATCATGCCAGTGTCTTTCGCTCGAGCTGCCAGCTGTGCTGAAAGACTCATGGCCGCGGCCACCGGCGGCACGCCAGTAGACATGAGCGATTTCTTACTGCATGAGGCGCAAGCCCAGTTGCAGCTGGCTTTGCTCGGTTTGCCAGAGGATCTCATGAACAGCGTGAATGCTGAAATGCGTTCTGCGTTTCACGGAAACCCAGGCAGCAACAAGAAGAATGCGCTTGCAGACGCCATGTCCAAGATAATAGCAAGCCTCGAGAAGCAAGACCTGACACTTCCGAGCTCAGGGTGTCCAATGAAAGGCCCTCTGTCGAAAGTTTTGCGCACAGCTGAGCTCTCACCCGCGAGCTTCTATGGCAACTTGCTGCTAATCCTATTTGCAGGACATGACACGACCGGACACACGATGACCTGGCTCTTGTTTGAACTTGCTCGCAACCCACACATTCAGAGTTCTGTGCAGGCTGAAGTTGACGACTTCTTCAAAGGGTTGGATGGACGAGACCCGAATTACCAAGACCTCAGTCGACTTCCGCTCTTGGATAGGTGCATTACTGAAACATTGCGTCTTTGGCCGGCTGTTGCCAATGGAACGTTTCGCCGACTTCAGTTTGGAGATACTGTGAAAGGTGCAGATGGAGGGGAGGTGTATCTGCCCAAAGGAACACTGGTCAACATTGTGAATTGGTCGAGACACAGGAATCCGGAGATTTGGGGTCAGGATGCAGAGGACTTCAACCCATATCGAAACTTCGAGGCTTCTGAACTGGCTCACGTGGGCTGCCCGATGGCTGCTGTGAACCCTCAATCGCCGCGCTTTTCGCCCTTTGCACACGCGCCTCGCAGCTGTTTGGGGCGAAACTTTGCACAAATGGAAATGCGCGTCATCATGCGGCCTGGTCTGCATGAACAAATTTCTTTGTTTCTTAATGGCCTGATACGGTTTCATGAGCCAGCTGTTTCCCCATCCTACAGGCTGAATCTACTCCGCAGTTTCAGTTTCAGCCTGGCGCCGCCCTATGATGCGCTCTATTCCTCCAAGATCAGCACGACGGAGCTTAGCACCTTTCATGGTGTCAACCGCTTCACCATGGGCCCGCTCGATATGGAGCGCCAAGGTTGGGGCGAGCGGTTCGTTTCCGGTAGCAGTGCTCACGGTCGAAAATGGTGTGCCAGCACACTAACACATTCCAAAACTTTAACACCGGGCCATTTCATTGACGTCGCCCTGACAGGTAACACCGTATGGGGCAAAAGGCCTCTCATCGGACTCAAGATGATCATCACACACCGGCAGAAGCCATCAGGCGGACCTTGATGATCGGGGCATCGCTTCTGAGCATGGACACCTTTCGAGCGAGGAAGCATCGTTTGGTACAGCACCGGTGTTTTGGCGTGATGTCAGTCGTTCCGTGGCATGTTGTGACTGTTGCTCTTGCTGCGCCTTGCTGAAAGGTTGAGAAATCGCGTCCGTAGCTTGCCCATATCTGTTCACAGTAGCTAACAAGCAGCTAACACTTCATCTTTCAACTTTGCATTAGCGAACCCTCATGGGTCTTTTTCAAGGGGTGTTGACACAATTTAGCTTACAAGGAGCAAAGGTCTAAGCCTATTGTTGGCGAACATGTCGCAGGTGGGTGTGTGCTTATTGGTATGCATCTTCGCCGGGGAAGGAACCATGAACCCGCGAAGCTCAGCAGGGCTGCCTGCTTGTCAGAAGGGCACGCATGCTTCCTTGCAGCCATGGGGAAGCGTCTCGATTTCTACACTGTCCTAGAGATCAGCAAGGAGCTCTTTTGCGAGGGTGTGTTCAACGAACATGCGCTGGTGAGGAGCAGTACGTCGAAGTGTGATATAGTGTGATTTTTGATGCTTGGTTGCTGGTCAAGCAGGATGCTGTCCTTGCAGGATGCAAGCGTCGAAGAGATTCGCAAGGCAGCTTGGCAGCAGACTTGAGCAACTTTGGGCATTAGATTGCATTAGTAACCCGTCCACGAGATGAGTTGAATCCAAATCGCAGGCAAGATCTGAAGCAAATGTTATCAGAGCTGTGCAGTCTGGAAAACAGCCTGTTCAAGCTACCAAAGAGGTCTTGCTGCATTCTTAGATTGGGGACCCACTACGGTCCCAACTGCGGGGAGGAGAAGGATCCTAAGTGTTTTTGGGGAAGGTCTTGTGCAAGACAGAGTCCAAGCCTTGCAGAGGGAGTTTTCGACTCTTCGACTTCATTTGTCGAACCTTCCGATTTCGCCAACACCATGACAATCTGGCGGGCACCTGGATCCTGACGGGAGAAGGCTTTCGGGGTAGTTTAATTGAGGCGTGCCCCTGCATCATCCCTTAATTGGAAATGCATAATGCAGTACAGGGATCTCCAGGTTGAAAGCATGTAGGCATGGAACGGAAGGAATTCTGACTTAGCAGCTGGTTCTTCGGGTTTTCAGTCTGTGAGCAGTTTCAGTGCGGGCCAGAATTGGGTGTGGACATCCATGTCATTGACTTGGAAGGCATACTTGCGGGCAGCCTTGCGATGGCATCCAGACAAGAATCCGGAGGAGAAAGACTTCGCCGTACTCTGGCACATCAGCCAATCGATAGCTTGAGCTTCCAACATAGCTTTGTGCGTTTTTGAATATCCTCTTACAGCCCGGCAGCATGATTTGACACGCCCGCGAGCTACTGCCAGTTCTGCTTACTCAGCTTGGAGCGATCAGCTGGGGACCGAGCTGAGGAGACAATGTTCAAAAGGGTGGCCCAGGCATACAAGGCGGCAGATTCCACGAGTTAGTTGGTACTAGTAGTTGACTTGTAGTTACTCCATCACCGGGACTGTGGCACGTGAGTTCAAAGACGACGAAATGAGAATGGAAGCACTGCTTCGGCTTGTTGCATTTTCCATATCCCAGCAGGTGCTGAGCGATGACCTTCTGTGTTCGCGCTATAATACCTCTGGAGAGGGCGGTCTTGGGCATGGTTGGTGGCCTGATGATCCTGAAGCAAGAATCTTGTTCCGAAGTTGCGAAACCACAGATCATCAGATCATGTTGTGTTCTGGTTGGGCAAGAATTCCCATCGCCCGAGTCAAAGCCGTCGTACTCCGACCGAGGTCGGGACATGGCCTACCAATTCTTCATCCATCGCGTTCCCGGCAAATCCCTGATCGAAGGCTTCAGCGAGGCCAACAAGACGCGTCAGGTCGATCCCGCGTCCCACATCCAGCCCATGTTGCCACGAGGCCAAGCTTCGAGAGATCTTCCCGCATCTTTTCGGCTGGGAGCTGAGTCTGCGAAGAAGATCTGAGTTCATGAATCATGAATTTCTTCTTCTGGCAGGACGTGGCCGAGTGATGAACAAGACCAAGCCACCCGAGCGCAGCCCGTTGTAACAAGCAAGTTCTGGGTGATCCGACAGAACTGACGGAATCGAAGGCCTTTACAACGTATTCAAGTCTGAAACTCAACCCGACCGAAGCCTCGCACCA